GGAAATACGTTTTGCCATCATCGAGATGAGGTCAGACCAAACCGTTATGGTAGCCCCAAGGCCAACAATCGGATGCAACAAGAAAAAAGTCAAGCAAACTGTAAGTCCACTAAAGAGAGAAGATGGCAAGGAAATAACAGGCAAAAGGGAGAAAGCAGAAAGCATCTTAACTCATACTTTACATCAGTCTTCACACAAAAAGAAACTATAGCCCAACATACCCAAAAAACCACTGCAAAAGACAAATTAGAAACAAAAAATTAATATAAGCAAGAAAATGGTAAGAGAACACCTGTCCAACCTTGACAAATATAAATCACCAGGACCTGACATATTACATCCCAGAGTTCTGAAGGAGCTGGCAGATGTTATCTCAGAACCACTGCACCACATCTTTCAAAAATCCTGGAGCATCGGGGAAATACCTGAGGATTGGAAAAGAGCTGGTGTGGTTCCCATCTACAAGAAAGGGAAAAAAATGGACCCAGGAAACTACAGACCAATCAGTTTAATATCAATACCTGGGAAGATCCTAGAAAAGATAATCGAAAAACAGATCTGCAAACAACTAGAAGCAAACAAAGTTATAACTAGTAGCCAGCATGGGTTTTTTAAAAACAGATCATGCCAAACCAATCTTATTTCATTCTTCAACAAAATGACTAAACTAGTCGACCAGTGAAATACTGTGGATGTAGTATAGTTAGACTTCAGTAAAGCATTTGATAAAGTAGACCATAATCTACTCCTTGGTAAGCTAGAAAAAGGTGGAATAGACAACATCATCACCAGATAGATCTGTAGCTGGCTGTCAAACCATACTCAATATTGTTATGAGAAAGCATCTCTAGGTCTGGCCAGACACCTGGTGTAACGTCCTTGAGTCTCATGGTCTGGCTTCTTAATCTTTGAAGTCTGCATTCCAAACCTCTCCCCTCCCCCCAAGTTCATTGGTAAGCTGAGAAACAATATTTGTCACACCAGCAAAACTGTGCTTTGAAACTTGACAGCAGGAAGATTGACTCATTTGAACTGGAGAAGTCTCCTCCGTATTCCTTGGACAACAAAGGTGACCATCAAGCAAATGTTGGAGCACATAACACCAGACATGTCACTGGAAGGCAAAATCACCAAACTGTATCTCACTTATTTTGGCCACGTCATGCAAGGGAATTCACTGAAGAAAGCAATGATGTTTGGAAAAGTTAGTGGTCAAAGGAAACCAAGCTGCGAAAGAACATGGTGGCTGGACGCCATCAAAGCTGACACCAACCAGAGCATAGAACAACTCAAAAAAGTCATGAAAGATTGGAAGCTATGGAGAAACCTAGCTCATAGATTCTCCCAGAGTCAGACATGACTGAATGGATATCATCATCATCATCATCAGTCTTCTGATTGCGTCTCTTTCCTACTCTGAATAACCTTGAAGGACCACCTGTCCATTCCCAGCAAATGCAGGATATCTGCTGATGGTTTCCACCTAATCAAGAGATGGGCTGTAGGACCATGGAAGTGATCCATTTCATAGCATGCTTCCTGCAGCAGAACTAACTCCTACTTGCACAGTCTTACAAAACCCTAGTTGTTCCAGAAGGCCAATTATGTTGTCAGTGAATTTGGATAATTGGTGCTATGTAAATGCTTTAATAGGTACAGTATATACAGGTAGTTAATGATCAGAATATTACAGTATTGTTGCTTGTGGGAACAACACTTGGAGGGTTTTCAATTTAAGTGATCTATAAATTCTATAAAGCAATAAAAAGAAAACACAGAAAATGATTAAATTCAAGTGGTTTATATAATTCCATCAATAGCGTTTCAACAGGCAGACCTTCCAATAATATTATCCATCATTTCTTGAATATTATGAGCAAATCCATCATCCCTTCTTACTCTCCTAAAACTTTCATGTCTTTGTGGCCCTCTTCCTAACAAAAGTTAGTCTATTAAAAAATTGGAATAGATTCAAATTTGGAGGGTGAGTGAATGCAAAAGCCCACCATTTATAGAGGGCTGAGGACTTCCCATTGAACAAGTAGCAAGGATGGGCAAGAAAAGACAACCAATTTACAAGTGTAGGGCTAGAACAGAATTTCTCAATCTTGGCAACTTTAAAATGTCTGGACTTCAACTCCCAGAATTCCAGGGAGACTGGGAATTCTGGGCGTTAAAGTTCAGATATTTTAAAGTAGTTAAATTGGAGAAAAACTGGGCTAGAAATTGGGAAGCTGTGAATTCTTGTCCTCTCATAGGCATAAAAGCCAGCTAGGAGGTTTGGATCTCTCAACCTTACTGAGCAAAATATGAGGGGGAGCATTAGGAACGTCCACTGCTTGAGTTGACCAAAAAGAAAGGTACGATCAAGATATCTATGGAGATTCTCAACCATCCAGGTCATGGTTGTCCAAAAGGTTTTTTTTAAAAAAGGCAACTCGACTTTCTTGAGTTTTTTTCTTTGAAAACTTTCTTTGAAAGTTAGAAATAAAGAAGCTTCTTGAGTGAGAAGCAAAGTGTTTTCAAAGGAAAAAAACGCCCCAAGAAATTCCAGCTGCCTTTTGGAAAAAGCCCTTTTAGGATAAAAATCAAGTTAAAAATTATTTTTGTTTTTTTTAATTACATTTAAATTGAATTAAATTTCAATTTCAATTAAATTCTTAGAGTTGCGGGGAGTCAATAAATTTAATTAATGAAAAATCAAATTAAAAGGTAGTTAACTGACCAGGCCCATTTGGGTGGCAGCGTTTAGCTGACTGTGGCTGATTTGCAAAAGCCAAACAAGTCAAAACCAACTTAAAACTAGTCCAGACTGAAAACTAGCCTGGGACTGAGACACCACTTCTGTTTCTTTCCCAAGATGAATTATCTGGACCTAGCCATGAGGTAACAAGCAGTTTTGGTCAGCTCGGCAAATTGATTTTTTTTTTCAGGTAACTACTTCCTATAGATTAAATATAGATTAAATTTCTTTAACCTATAATTACTGTAATTATAGAAATTGCAGTTTGGTGGCAATGTTGGAAGAACTTCCATTCTTTCAAGGACTTGATGTGTCAGATATTATCTCAAATAAGAGCCCGTGTGGATTTTAATAGAAATGAATAAAAATTACTTTTTTAAAAAAGAAATCTCAGAATGAGTGGTTTGGGTTTTCTGTTTTGTAGCCAGAACATTTAATTGAAGTGTAGGAGGACAGCACGCACACACCCCAGAGAAAGAAATATTTTGGGGAATGTTAAAAAGCAGAATATTATATTTCCCAAAGGAATACAGCAATGGAGAAAGAAAATCTTAAAAGACAGAAATGGTGAATGCTCCAACACTGGAAGTTTTTAAGATGAGATTGGACAACTATTTGTCTGAAATGGTATAGGGTTTCCTGCCTGAGCAGGGGGTTGGACTAGATGACCTCTAAGGCCCCTTCCAACTTTATTATTATTATTATTCCAGCCCCCAGAAACCAGCCCCAGCCCCTCTCCCCCAGTCAGAGGCCAGCTCTATAGAAAGCTAGATTTGACCATCCTATTCAGAAAAGTTGCCCCCCACAACTTGGAGCTGATGATATTAGAAAGACAAAGACTCCACCCAAACTCTAAACACATGATTTTTAGGACATAATAGGATTAACCAGGACTTTTTTTTCGGTCATAGAACACACCAGAACGGAATTCCAGCACCTTTTTTTGATGAATTCTCCAGAGTTGCGTTCTTTTCCTATTGTTTCCCTTCCAATCCTTGTTTGTTTTTGAAAATGCCTCGCTGGCGGTACGGTGGCGAAGCGAAAGGGAAGAAAGGCGGCTGGTGTGGAAGCTTGTCCGACAGCGAAACTTTGCTGTTTCAGCTCCTTGGGTAGTTCAAAGGCTGGGATGTCTACGAAAATCTCTTTTTAGTCTTTTATACTTTATATTTAAACTGCAGAGGGGGAGAATGAGAATAAAGCCAATGTCTTGTGATTTGGAGGTATGATTATTAATAATAATATATATTAATTATGTATTGGTGGCTTTTTTTTCCCCCACAACCCTTAGTACCACTCTATGACAAGGAGGAGAGTGCGAAACCCAGCATCCAGCATCCAGAGTCCTTCTCCTGGTCCTCAGCAAAGTCTCCCTAGGTTGGTTTTGCAACACGGAAGGAAAACAAAAACAAGAAGCAGAATGGAATGGCGCCAAGGTGCCCTGACATCAACAGAGGTGGAGAGCCTGGTGAGATGGCAGCAGGTGCCATAATACTTTGACTTTAATCAAGGAGGAAGGATGGGATGGGAATTCTGGTCATGGGGAAACTGAACACAGAACACAGAAAGGCCTCAAGTGAAGCTTGCTGTGCTGACCCAGCCTAGGCAGGTAGACTTCAACGTACGACTGCAAATGACCCCACATTTTTGTTGCCAAGCAAGGCAGTTGTTAAGTAAGCTGTGCCCCATTTCACAATCTTTTTGCCATAGTTACTAAGTGAATAATGAGGTCCTTAAGCGAATCTGGCTTCCCCCATTAACTTTGCTTGTTGGCAGCTGGCTGGGAAGGTTACAGATGGTGACCCTAGAACAGTGCCCAGCCCTGAAATTTTGATCACATGACCACGGAGCTGCTGCAATTGTCGTTAAGTGTGAAAAGCCTTATTGTAACTTCAACGGTCATTAAATGAATGGCTGTCAGCTGAGGACTATCTGTATTAGAAGAATCAAAGTAATTGGAGCAACGTTATGTTTTTCACTGTACTTCAATTATATATTAGATATTTTGCAAGCCACTCAAGTCATTTTGGAGTCAGGCTGCCTTAATAAATCTAAATAACAATAACAATAACAAACTTCTCCAGATCCTTCTCTTCTAAATGCAGAACAGAAGAGAAGGAACTGCAAATAGAAGTAGAATGACTGTCACAAAAGAAAACAAAGGGAGTACCAATAGTCATAGGCATTTTGAGTGCAATCCCAAAGCATCTGGAGCACCATTTGAACACTACCAGCATTGACAAATTCGCCATCAGTCAATTGCAAAAAGTAGCTTTATTCAGAACAGCTTACATTCTGTGATGATACTTCTAACACCAGGACACACCATAATACACTATCCCAAGTCCTTGGGAAGGACTAGAAAGGTGGATAAAAACACTAAATCCAGTGTGAACATCTGGCTGAGTGTGTGATGAACCATAATATAACATCATAATATATATGAGGTCATTGTTGTTTCTAAGAGATGCCCATGTTACTCAGCACAAATATTGGGGTGAGAAACAATATTAGCCTACATATTAACCAGATGATCAATCAGGAACATACAGAATCCACCAGGCAAATATTTGGCAGAGAACATCTAATTAATTAAAATACTGGATTGAAAATTTGAAAATTGAAGATCAACACATTTCAAGGGTATCAAGTTGGAGTATTATTTTAATTTGTTTCAGCTGAACAATATGTGGGCAAAAACATCCATATTCATCATATGACTTTACAAGGTTGCATGAGAGGTTATTAAAATGATGTATGTGAAGTACATATTGCGGAATGTGTTGTCAACATCTGTAGCATTCCCATCACACTTGCATTCCTAGGAACTGTAGGGGCAGTTTAGGTTAAGGCTTCCCCAATGCCATGTTGTAATAATAATTAGATAGTTATGTTGTCATCCATTATATTGTGGTTATAAATTAGAGCAGGCAAACAAATCCTGTGGGGGTTTTCCCCCCTACTTGTTCTCATTCAATTTGATAAGAATGCAATTGGCTCTCAATGTTTTCTTTCCTAAAGGTGAAGAAACGTCTGGAGAAGTTCTCAGGACTGGTCTCCTTGCACCTAAGTAGTGAGAAGGTGACCAAGGTTAGGAATGAACACCCTCTGTCCTTCCTGGGTCCAGACTCCCTGGCTTTCCTTACGTCCATTCAGCCCAGGAAAAGTTTTGAGGAGAGAGATCTCCGTAGGATTTGACGGTTTGTCAAAATAAGTTTTTTAAAAAATGTGACGATGTTATGCCAGACGTTCTGCATCTTTCACGCATGCCACTTAGGAACGAAAAGGGTGGAGCTTGGATCATGACTGCACAACCCTCATTTCATCATTTGCTCTCTTTGACTCTATCTGAGGATGCTTCAGACAAGAAGAAATGTGGAGTTGTTGGTGCTTTGTGAGCTTGGTAGTTTGTCTGCAGAAGACATTACCTAGCTGGACAATGAAACATCTGCAAACAATCAGCCTCAGAGAGCACCAAGGACTCCACAGTTCAGTCCAGTTCAGTGCTGGAGGCTCGTCTAGCCTTTTCAGTAATGGTGCCCTTGTTGTATCAAGTTAAAGTCCCGTCTTTGACCCATTGGTGGTGTAATTCTCCATGCCCTAGGATAAGTCTGAGAAATGGTTTCCTCACTTTCTCCATCCAGAAATTCAACGGGAAAATTTTTGAAGGGCTATTTGTGTCCATCCCCAGAATAGACAGCCATTTATTTAATAGAGGCACGAAAAGGCTAATGTCTAAGAATAGAGGTGGAACAAAACTCAGCCAGGCAGTTCCTCCTCCTTTTGAGTTTGGATCTTCCTCTGTGAAGCCTGGTGGTTCTTGGATGGTATGGAGAGCAAACCTTTTCTGTCTCTGGAGGGGCACCTGCGTCCATTTTGTCTACAAGGGCCTTAAACAATTTGCAGTGGAGGAGAAGGAGAAGAAGAGAGAGAAGGGAGAAGGGGAAGGAAGGAGGAAGGGGAAGGAAGGAGAAGGGAGAAGGAGAAGAGAGAAGGAGATGGAGATTTTATCCTGATCTCTGTATGTATACACACACTCAAGGCAGCAAAACTATTTAATAATTATTTCTCTACAAGTCCCAGGTAGAATTCCTATATCAGCCCTGCAAGATAGACCAGACTAGGAAACCAAAGTTATAAATGCTAACACTACTTTTATTATAAAATTACAGGAACAGAATCTTGCAAGTCTGAATATGCTTCCTCCCACTCTTTGCCTTTGTAAGAAGTAGAGAGGGTCTTGTTTAAGAAGCTTCCTTGGATTACATTTCTTGGTTTTCTTTTATCTGGCCCTTGTTTTGTAATGGTTCTTCCTCCTGTTCCTCAAGGTTATTCCTTTTTCCCATTATATCCTAGCATGGCCAGGAAAGGCTGGGAAAGTAGTGTAAAGCTTGATGGACCAGGGGCCCAAAGTACCTGTGTTTTTAGAGCTCTAAATTGGGATTGGAGCAGAAGTGGCTAAGGCACCATAAAACAGCATCTTCTCAAATCTGTACCTAGCAGAGGTCCTGGGATTGCAACTGCCAACTTCCAGCCAACATGCATAAAGGTTGTTTTTGCCGAGAATTGCAGGAGTTGTAGTCCTAAGGTATTGGGGGACCTTATGCCACAAAGAGCTATTGTGGTCATCTATATATTTCACACTGAAGGACCAGATCAGGAGCAGATGACTTAATGGTTCCAGCATTCCTTGCCAGATATTTTTGGCTGTGGTCCATTTAGTCGTGGGAGACTTAGAAGCATCATCCGATTTAGCTGGTGGATCTGACAACCTTCACACACCCACTAATGAGCCGAAGCTGGGCAGAGCCAGGTAAGTATCTTGAGGGACTATTTAGAGGGAAGGGTGAAAACTGGCAACAAAACACACAGAACAAGTTCTAGGCAGGCGGTTAATTTGCGATCTAATCTTGCCTGGACACGAACAATTCTCTTCTACCCTTGAAAGCCTGGCCTCACCCTCGGAAGCAAAGACTTTTCACATGATCATCTATCAACGGGCCCCATCCTGGGATCTCTAAAGTTCAATCAAAAATGTTTAATGTCAGGTATTGAGGATCTACTGCGATGTCCAGAGGCCTTCTCAAAATTCTCCATTCTGTGATCCGGTTTTGGATCACTGTTCTGCGGATCCAGTCGTAGTAGTTTGTAAACCATGATTTCTGACTGACACATGAAACAAATCCAGTTCATGGTGGTTTATTCATCATGTATATGATGTAAGTTTTACTGAATATGAATATTTCTGATGAATGCCGGCTTAGTGTTTCGTTGGATGCTGACAACAAGCAAGCAGAGAAACCAAGTGAACCCTTTAATTGAATTTTTAATTTAAAGGCGAAGAAAAGTACCTCAGAAATGAGTGAAACTCAACTGTACTCAATAGCTGTAGTGCAGTTGCTTTTTCTTCCTCCTAAATATCGAATGCTTCTTTAAAAGAAAAAAAAAACTATTGTAAATAATGGCAGTGGCAACCTTTGTTTTAAAAGCCAGTCACCATTTTATATCATCTATTCTATAACAATCACGTTGTTCTCTGACAGGTGCTGGAGGCTTGTCTAGCAAAAAAATAGTGGGAAATATTTGGGAAGACTTCTGCTAACAGGAAAGTAAAAAATAATCTTCTGTAAGTTCATGTCCTGGATAAATGGGGATTTCACGACTATTGTCCTCATTTCTTTCTTTCTTTTTTCTGCTGTCCCGACAACTCAGTGCATTTGCTAGGAATGGCTTCCTAATGCTCGTTCCTCTCGCAGACTAGCCTTCCCCCATGTAGATGTGCTAAGACTGCAACTCCCAGAATTCCCCACTGACAAATCAACTAAGATGATTAAAGGCTTGGAGACAAAAACATATGAAGAAAGGTTGCAGGAATTGGGTATGGCCAGTCTAGAGAAAAGAAGGACTAGGGTGACATGATCGCAGTCTTCCAGTATTTGAGGGGCTGCCACAAAGAAGAAGGGGGTCAATCAATCTTTTAGAAAGATCAGAAGGCAAGACAAGAAGCAATGATGGAAACTCCTCAAGGAGAGAAGCAACCTGGAATTAAGGAGAAACTTCCTAATAGTGAGAACAATTAACCAGTGGAACGGCTTGCCTTCAGATGTTGTGGGTGCTTCATTGCTGGAAGTTTTTAAGAAAAGATTGGACAGCCACTTGTCTTAAATTGCATCGGGTGTCTTGCTTGAGCAGGGGGTTGGACTAGAAGACCTCCAAGGTCCCTTCCAGATCTATTCTGATTCTGGGAATTAGCTTATTCCCAACATATTTGAAGGATGCTTCAAGCTTGGAGAGAGCTTTCCTGGGCTGTCTTTTGCCCTGAGTGAAACCAGGAATGCAAAGAAGTCTTGGAATGTATGAAATCTGTCTGAAGCACCACTCCATTCCATGAAAACATCTGGGTGCCCTCGACATGTCAAGCACCCTTCCTGACCTTAATCAGATGTTTACAGTTGTTAAGATTACATTTCAATTGTATTACTAAGGAATTTAGCAGGCAGGTCTGAGCTAGCTCCAATGGATGGGAGGGTTGGAAAATTGGAGAAGGCATTTCTTGACTGTTGACCAACCTGTGGATGATAACTTTTTCGTATCGATGTATCTCTCATATCATGTAGCTCACTTCAGTGGATGATTTGTTTTGCATCATTTTAATGTTAGAAGGGCCCTGGGAAAAGTGACTTTTGATGGGTCCTCGCACTCATGACTTTCACAGCACCTCCCACGTCACATGATCAGAATTTGGGTGTTTGGCCACCGACATGTATTTACAATGATTACAGCAAACCCAGGGTCACGTGATTGCTGTTTCTGATCTTCCCAGGGGGCTTCTGACAAGCAAAACTAATGAGGGAAGCCGGATTTGCTTAATAGCTGCATGATTTGCTTAACGGCCACAGCAAAAAAAAGGTCAAAAAACCGTCCATTACTCTACTCATTCAACACCATATCTCTTAGCAATGGAAGTTACAGTCCCAACGCAGTTATGATTCAAGGACTACCTACATTTTCATTTGTTTGGCTCCACATTTTTTGCACAATGAATAGTTTCAGCCCCAATTTAGCATTCGTGAATCATCTCAGATAACCAGGCTAGGTGGAACATCAAGATGCTGTCCATGGAGGACTAAATCTTGTTCCTTCTGGTCTCACCTTGGCTGTCAGGGTAGAAATCCTTAAATTTCCTAAAGAGCCATGGGCAACCGTGCTGAGCTTAACCATAAAAATCAGAGCTCCATCTTAGTTTGAAACTCATGTGGTTATGTCACCATATGGGGAATACCCTATAGAGACTACTTACAATGACTTTGATGGACGTATGTAGGAACTTTGTCTGAGCAAAAGAGGCTGAAGCATTTTTTTTAACAGTAGAATGGCCAGATAACATTTCAAAGCAACTCAGAGGGCTTCCTAATTTACTAACCCAGTGCAATCAGACTTTTAGGATTCTGATATAACACCGTCAACTAGTCTCAATAACGGTAGTTTTAGCTTTCTTAATAGCATCAGTTTCCTGGTTTGGTCCATCAGTGAATATGACACCATAGTTGCTCTCTGTAGACCCTGAAGGAATATTTGCAAAACATTGAAAAACAGACAAAGTAAAAGCCAGGAACTCCTTGAATCATAGTCTATTTGATGGACTTTCTCTGTTCTGCTTTGTAAAAAATGACAAATTGGTTAATGGAGAAGAAAGCTTTGAGCCGGTGACAAGTTGAATAATTAGATGTGCGTTTCCAGCATTTGCAAAGTTGCAATGAGATGAGTGTAACGTGATGTCACCACTTTCCAATATCAACATTTGCACTTACCTTTGAAATTCCTGGCTCATGAGTTTGATATGATTCTCCCTTATCTGTACTTTTCAGAACTGGAGGCCTGAGAAAACACGCCTGGGTCACGAAGAAAATATTGATTGGGCTGGGCATGTTGAGAACCATCCCAATGTTTTGGCAACTCTGCATCATTCTTATTAGAGACAATACCAGTGGAATACAGTAAGGGTTTCTAAATTGTTTATGAAGATGTAGAAGAGGATTGGGCCTAAAACAGAACCTTGGGGTACCCCACTGCTTACTTCCCTCCATGTAGATGTAGTTCCACTTAGGACCGTATGTTGAGTGTGATTTATCAGCCAGCTTCAAATCTACCTGAAGGTGATACTGTCTATTCCACATTTTTTAAGGTTACCAAGAAGAAAATTGTGGTCTACTTTGTCAAATGCCTTACTGAAATCCAGTGCCTTTCTTACAAACCTCTCAGTGGCGTTTCATTGACTGCAGCTGGTAAGTAAGAGCTGGATAAACATTAAGTTTGATCTAGAAACCAAGTTTCTGGGTTTTATTGTACTGAAGCCAGAAACAGCTCTGGGGGAGGAGAGGGGTCTGGACAAAAAGTCCTCTAACAGGTCACCTGTTTGTGAGGGATCTTTTCCTCCATTTGTCCCACCTCAGGGGCTCGCTTCCTGTCAGCCAGCTGAAATGAACACTATTCCTAGAAGCCTCTGTGTGACTTTCATCTCTTGTAACTTTTCCAGAATGCCCTGGAACAACACTTTGTCAGGGATATTCTGAGATATTAAAATAATATAGAATAGAATCTCAGGGATTGAGGTCTCTACGTCCAGCCCCCTGCTCTAGCAGGAGACTCCATATCATTTTGGACAAATGGTTGTCCAATCTTTTCTTGAAAATCTCTAGTGATGGATGATCCACAACTTCTACAAGCTATTCCATTGATTAATTTTTTTCTCATTGCCAGGAAATTTCTCCTTAGTTCCATACTGGAACTCTCTTTAGCGAGTTTCCATCCATTCCTCTTTGCCCTGCCCTCAGGTGCTTTGGAGAATATTATCCCTTATCTGAGAGTGGCTCTTAAGGACTGAGAGGCAGCTCTCATGCCATCTCCATACAATGAGGTCTCCATATCCTTTATCATCTTCATTGCTCTTCTCTGCACTGTTTCTAGAGTTTTAGCGTCTTTTTTGCATTGTGGTGACCAGAACTGGAGGCAGAATTCCAAGTCTTTAATAGTGCAGTATAAAGTGGTACGATCACTTATCGTAGTTAAACCCATCCACCTGGCTTAAGAATCTCAGTTTTGTAAAAATGGTATTTTTAGAGAAGGAAACGAGATCAATGCTTCTGTTGGTGCCTTCAGAGCTTCGATAAGTACCAAAGAAAACTATGTGCTGATGGTGTCTTTAGCTGATTTGTCTCTCAGGACAATCAGTGGAGAATTGGAGTTCTCTCCACTTTTCCACCCCGATAGAGAATACCATGAGGCTTTGAGATGCTCCTTATCAGAAGAGTTGCAGCTGCTGAAATCCAACAGCTGGACTTGCTTTGGCCTTGAGATGTTCTCCTGGACTTCAGCAAGCAATCTGGTAGCATCACAGAGACTTCAAGTGCAACTGAAAGGACACCAACCATACATATGAGTTGCACTGACTTTTGAAATGATGAAGATGGAAACGCTTCTGGCCCTCTCCTCATTTCATCCTTGGGGCATTACGACTATGTTCAGCATGAGTCATTTTGGAGGATTTGGCCACGTGTAACTTCTTACTGTGGTTGCAAGTGCTGCATGTCATTCTGAACACCGTTTCATTGCTTTTTTCATTGCTTGTTCATTTTCACTGTTCATTTTGATTAGGGTTGAGCTGTGCCTTGATGGGGCATGCTACAAACAGGAATGTCACTTATTTTATAAAAATGGCTGCAACTGCTAGAATCCAACTTGGGGTCAATTTTGAGTCTGCTGGCTTGATTACACAACTGTACCATTATTAATAGCAGCAACATAAGACGAAGAAGCCACCTGCTCACAACCCATAACAGGACCTTGAGTCGAAATAGCTTGAATTCAATGCAGCTTAAAAGACAAGGGTGAGAGGCAGGGGAAGGCGTCAAATAAGTCAAAATGGAGCCCTGCCCATACCCTTGAAGCCCTGCTCACTTTTTTGAGCAGCTCCCATCTTAACGTGGTTGACCTCTCTGTTAATGGTGCTGAGAACAGCTCCGCTTGATGGTGTTGACATCTCCTTGTGGTTTTCCAATCCCTCCCATCAAAAGCATGTCTATGACTGCTACTCTCAGGGAGGAGGGAAGAGGGGGGAGGGGAGGGAGGGGGAGGACAAGAGGAGGCAGTTTCATGGACAAGTGACTCTCTGGGCTGTCCAGCAAGCATAAGAGAGAGGGGGAGAACATTCCTCAGGATTGCCACATCATTGGGTGTTACAGAAAGACTCACAATGAGAAGTCCGTTGTGGAATATTATGTAATGGCTGTCCTAGATCCATTTTGTCATTCTTCTACTTGAATTCCAGTCAGATTTGTGGAGTTAGCTTTCATTTTCTTGCAGAGTATAAACTAATATTATGCCTCCACTCATCCCCCAGATTCCTTGTAGAGAAATGCCTTCCTACACACCTGAAAGCTCAGGACAGGAGGAATTCCACAACCTCCCCCCCCCCAAGGACCGAACAAAATTGCCCTTGAGTGCAGCTATCCAAAATATAACAGTATGGACCTTTTCTTAGGTAGCTCCCAGAAATCCCATCGCTTGCAAATCTAAGGGAGAAGGGGAAACACCTTATCACCAACCAGCTGGCTGACCTTTATCAAGGCTAAATCAATAAATTTGACCCAGCAAACTGGCCATAAAAGGTTGAAGGTTCATAAATCCAAGGAAGCTATTTGGGATGGGCTGTTGGAAGCACAGTATCCTAGAATTATAGAGTTAGGAAGAACAAACCACAGCAGAACAAACCAAATGCACAGGTATAGTATAGGGAGTACCTTGCTCAATAGTAACTGTGAGAGGGACCTCGGAGTCCTAGTGGACAATCACCTAAATATGAGCCAGCCGTGTGCTGCAGCTGCCAAAAAGGCCAACACAGTGCTGGGCTGCATTAACAGAGGGATAGAATCAAGATCACGTGAAGTGTTAATACCACTTTACAAGGCCTTGGTAAGGCCACACTTGGAATACGGCATCCAGTTTTGGTCACCGCGATGTAAAAAAGATGTTGAGACTCTAGAAAGAGTACAGAGAAGAGCAATGAAGATGATTAGGGGACTGGAGGCTAAAACATATAAGGAAAGGCTGCTGGAATTGGGTATGTCTAGTTTAACGAAGAGAAGGATGAGGGGGGGACATGATAGCAGCGTTCCAATAGATATTGGGCTGCCCCAAAGAAGAGGGAGTCAAGCTATTCTCCAAAGCGCCCGAAGGCAGGACAAGAAGCAACGGATGGAAACTGATCAAGGAGAGAAGCAACCTAGAACTAAAGAGAAACTTCCTAACAGTGAGAACAATTAACCAGTGGAACAACCTGCCTCCAGAAACGGTGAATGCTCCAACCCCGGAAGTTTTTAAGAAGAGACTGGACAGCCATTTTTCCAAAATGGTATAGGATTTCCTGCCTGAGCAGGGGGTTGGACTAGATGACCTCCAAGCTCCCTTCCAACTTTACTATTATTATTATAAACCAATTCTGCAATGTGCATGAAAACCGGGCAGTCTATTTATGAGAGGTGGTTTTTCTTCCTCTTCAACATCACCCAAGGTGGAGAGCCCATAACCTCCATGGCCAGAGTCATTTCTGCACATCTGCACAAGCCAAATGGGGAACAGCAACCGAGGATCCTGACGCGACTTCATTGGGTTTCCAGGAGAGATGCTGCAGATTCCATCCATGAGTAAAGCAGGATTTAAGTGGGCAATTATGATAAAAGGAAAGAGGAGGCCAAAAGATCTGCCATTTTGTGGGTAAAAGGTATCTCTGAATGAGAAACAATCAACTCCCTATGAATACGATGTGGCCGATCTGATTTTCTTGTAGAAAAGCAAACATATATTCAAATAGGAAAATATTAATTTGTCCTATGAGCAACAACATATTCATGCACAATTATTTCCGGGTACAGCTTGTTGGCTGCTCATTTTGCACGTACGTAAGTGCACAGATAGAAAAAAACGATGCAACAACAGATGGACACAAAGCACACTCACCCATTTGTGCAGAGTAGAATCCAAATAGACATGTGGATTCCTATGGCTGCACAAACTCACAACAGACACACATATGCAAAAGGCTCTCACACACAAATAAGAATGTGTGCACTGGGACACACCATATTTGTGTATTTGAGAGCAGCCACATTTGTGCAAATCATTTATTTTGCAAGGCCCACAAGTCTCATATTCCACAAGGCAGGCAAAGTTCCGTACATTTGTCTGCCTCTCCAAAATACACCAGGAAGAGCCAAACAGCAACAATATGCAAGAAATATGCAGAAATTCTGAATGCTGTAAGAATATCTTTGTATGGGCATGGACAGAACACATTGCGCGATGCACCAGGACATCTTTGTGGGAGTCCGACACAGAATGCAAACAAGTATTAAGACAACACACAGTCCTGTAAAAATACAAAAGTGCACATTCCATAAAAGTATGTACAAGTCTGCAGTGCTAAATGTGCAAAAAACAACCCTGCACACAAGTATATAATCATGCAGAAACTTGTAGGAAATTGGTATGCACACACAGACACACACTGATATATCTTTGTAATTTTGCAGATATCAAAGAGCAATTTCAAAGCAGCTGGGAAAAATTGTCCCATTCCTGCACATTGCACAGGTATTCCCCCCCCCCAGCTACTGTACTTTTAACCTCCCACAGCAAAGCTGCTCTTTGGGGAAACCCCCCCCCCTTTATCTGCACAGTGCAGCAGACAGATACATCAATCTCTGGGCATGACTGGTAGATTTTCCATAGTTCAAATTTAACCTGGCTGCCTCATTTCTCCACCACAATCCCAACACAGCTGGAGTTATCCTTGGTAACATTAGTCCTCTGTGCATTGCTGGCTGGCTGCAAAACCCTTGGTTGTAGGTCTGCAGGTCTTTGGTTTTCCTCCACCTGGAATCTGCATTTCTTGCTGCAAAGTCATCCCTGCTCTCTCTTCAGGTTACCTGACTGTCCAGGTGACGCACCGGCATCCCAGCTCCTGCTTTCTCTCCAATTTCTCCAAGATGGACAGGCTGCATTCCACGTCTGATTACTCGCGGCTGGGCTTGGCTCCTTTCTAGCGAACTCCTCTCATTAAGCTCTCTCCAGTTTCTGCAATTAGCTGCTGAATTGTTTGCAGGTATGAACGTGGCAAGCAATTATATAACAGCAGCCTTTTCACTGACACTGTAATTATCTTTTCCAAGCCAACGTGGTGCAATCCAGGGTTCTTCGTGCATCTGGGCTGGTTCTGGAGCCTTTCATGCCTTGCGAAGGCAGTTCTGGTGAGAGTCCGCTTTGCAACAGCAGCAATACCTGCCTGGTGCAATTCCCAACATCGTTGGATCACCGCAAAGAGACACACCCTGAGAAAGAACGGGTGCACAATAAGGAAGAGTTTGTTCCAGCTGTTGGTTTCTGCAGAAAAAAAAACCCACACCATTTGGTAAATTGGTTAGTGTGGGCCTGGGAAGCAAATCATGGGGGCGACTGTAATGAAAGAAACCCGAGACTCAAGATGGGGGTCAGCCAGGGAGACCAGGAAGAAGCAGTAGGACCCAAGGACTAAAATCTATAGGGCTTAGTTGAATCTAAGTTAGTTTGGGGGTACCCAGTCCTAGTTAGTTCTGCACTGGCATCATGTTATTTGAAGAGTGAAACCCCGAGAGGCCAGCATTTGTTCTGCATTGTAGAAGAGAGACCAATTTTCTTCAGCAAACCATCACCTTCACATTTCTTGAACCGGGGGGGGGGGATGATGGGTGTTATGGTTAGAGTGATGGAGAAAGGTTGGCAGGACCTAAGATCCCATTCACATAATACATTAAACAATGCAACCATCATTTATGGAGTGAAACTGAATTGGCTTGGTTAGGCAATACTTGGTTAGGCAAAACTCAGCCATCAAACTTTATTCATCATCCAGAATGGGTGAGCTACTGGACAAGAAATGACCAAAAGAAAAATCAGTTTTGGACATGAGTCTGTGGAGTTTCTTAATCATCCTTATCATGGCTCTCCCAAAGGTGATTTTTCTAAAAGGCAACTGGACTTTCTCAGTTTTTTCCCTTGCTGCTCATCTAAGAACTGAGGAAGCTTCTTGGATGAGAAGCAAAACATTTTCAGGGGGGGGGAAAAACCGAGAAAGGCCAGTTGCCTTTTGAAAAAGCACCTTTGGTTCTTTAGACACAAGTTTTGGTTGGAGAACTCCAACTTCCTTTCTGCGCAGAGCTACGGATCTTGTTAAAATTGCTCGGGATTTGTAAAAACTCAGGGGAAACTGACTAGCACACATTCCAGATGATCAGGAACAGTGCATCGAAAGCCAGAGCCCCATCATCGTTTTTACAGCCCACTTTTTAAGAGTGTCAACAGCTGTGCCTGAACCCAAGGTGAGTACCCAGGGTGTTCCAACAGCTGAATGGAACAGGGAACCAGGGATGGGTGGTATCTCAGCCAATGCAAACCAGCCAACTCCCCAGCTGTGTCAGAGTTCCAGCGTCACATGTTGCAAAATGGAGATGTTGCAATCTGAATCAGGCAGGAGTTGAATGGGACACAGAGACATAGAATCATGGAATCAATTTGATAGTTGAACAGTGAACCGCATACTGACAGAAGTGGTAGACTCATCTTCCAGCATCTTTCAACAGTGTCGGTTGAGGAGGCTTAGAATCATAGAATTGTAGGCTAGATAGAAGGGACCTTGGAAGCCCCCCCTGCCCAAGGCAGGAGGTTGATCTGGCATGATCTGCTTTTAATAAATCCATTGCTTCTAATAATTGCCTTGCTCATTTCTAGGTGTTCACAAATCCTCCGCTTGATTGTCTTTCCCAGGATTTTCCCAGGTATTGATGTCAAGCTGATTGGCCTATGATTTCTGGATCCATTCCCCCCTCCTTTTTTTGTAGATTGGAACCACATTGGCTCTTTTCCAGTTCTCAGGTAGTTCCCTTGTGCTTTGAAAGAGTACGTTGAGTGGCTTCTAAATTAGGTCTTCTAGCTCCTTCAGAACCATCTGGTCCAGGGAATTTGTGCTCATCTAATATGGTTAGGTATACCACACTACGGAGGCCACACTTGGAATAATGCTGCCCGTTCTGGTCACCACAGTACGGAGAAGATGCCGAGACCCTAGAAAGAGTGCAGTGAAGAGCAACAAAGACGATTAGGAGGCTGGAGGCTAAACTGATGAACAGTTGAGGGAGCTAGCCAGTGGTGGGATTCAAATATGGGAACAACAGGTTCTCTGTGTGGATGCTGCTTCTGGAAGTCCATTCTGGGCCTGGGCAACAAAAAATTAGCTACCGGTTCTGCCGAAGTGGTGTGAATCCCACCACTGGAGTTAGTCTATCAAAGAGAAGGATTAGGAGGGACACGATAACTGCCTTCCAGTCCTCAAGGGGCTACCACAGAGAAGAGGGGGTTGACTTGTTCTCTAAAGCACACCAGGGCAAAACAAGAAGCCACGGGTGGAAGCTTTTTAAAGAGAGATCCAACCTCGAAGTAAAGAGAAATTTCCTGACAATGAGAACAATTAATTAAAGAAACAGCTTGCCTCCAGGAATTGTGAGTGCTCCATTGCTGGAGGGTTTCAAAAATAGACTGGACAATATTTGACTGGGATGGCATAAGACTCCTGCCTTGAGCAAGGGGTTGGACTAGAAGACCTTTGAGGTTTCTTCCAGCTCTATGATTCTATGTTTCCTATTCCAGGTTGTCCTCTTGCTTAGTTAAAGTTTCTTCATCTCATCGAGATTCAACTCTTAAACTTTTATTCTCACTGGAGATCTTCACCCTCTAAGGAAGCTATGGAAAGCTGGCTCGTGAGGCGTCTCTTTTCCTTTACAACAACAGTAATAGCAGAGGTGGAGTCCTAAAAATAAAGAACACAAAATCCAGACTGTCGAAAGGCCTGGAGACTCCCAATAGCACCGGCCTGGCTGTGTGGGCCAGAAGAGCAGTGGCTGATGTGGATGGAATGAAATAGCTTCAGAAGGCACATGGAGCAGCACATGGCCTCCCTCTGTACTTAGGAGGCACATGGACCTCATTGCTGAATAACTGGTAAAAGCTGTTTGGGGGCTGCTGATGATCTTTCCAAAGTAGTTGGAGCTACAAGTGCTGAGTATTTTTGTGAAAGTTCTTGCCTTCTCACAGTTCTTGGAGAACAGATTTGCAGATAGTCCTCAACTTACGGCCATCTGCTTAGCGATCATTCTGTAGGAGAAAACCAGGCGGAGCCTGAGGGCGGGGTCAAATGCACCATCAGTTAAGGATCCTTACGCCCCGGAAAACGCCCAAAGTCCAGCACCCCCCCCCCCAAATCTGTTGACTCTTATCTGGCACCAATTCAGATCATATTGTTGTGTACCGATAGCAGGGAATAACCAAGTGGCTGTCCAGTCTGTTCTTAAAAACCTGGAGTGATGAAGCACCCACAATATCTGGAGGCAAGCTGTTCCACTGGTTAATTGTTCTCACTGTTGGGAAGTTTCTCCTTAATTCCAAGTTGCTTTTCTCCTTGATTTGTTTCTATCCGTTGTTTCTTGTCCTATCCTCTGGTGCTTTGAAAAATAAGTTGACCCCCTCCTCCTTGTGGCAGCCCCCCAAATACTGGAATACTGCTACCATGTCACCCCTAGTCCTTCTTTTTTTCAAGAACCTTCTCATTGCAGTCAAGGGTTGTCCAGTCCATTTTTGAAAGCCTCCAGCTATTTCATGCATTGTTTCAGATTGCGTTTCTCTTACATCTATGCTTTACAAAAAGACAGAAGAAACAAAAACATAAGCTAGAGAGCTAATCAACACCAATGGTTCATCCCAGGCCTGGCTCACTCATGTGGCACACCCAGCCTATTTCTCCCACCTTTTTTTCCTCGTGTTCCTTTGATCTTGGCTTATGCAAGCCTGAGTTTCCCACTGTATACGTGCCTCAGTTTAGCAACATCTTAACTCTTTACCAATAGGAGTAGTGTAGTTCTAAAAGATCCCGCCACTTTTATTGGAGTTCTGCCTTGGGCACAACGGTGGGTGAGAAGGGGGTGTAGAAATCAATAATTGGGTCCTCCCCAGTCATTATTTTCTATGTGCAAGTGCACTAATGTACATGTGAACGATTGTGTAATCTTTCTTTTTAAACTTAGCTAGCTGCCATATCTCCATGGCAGGAGGAATGAAGAGGAATTAAATCTGTGAATTCACTGATGTGCAGAAGAGACATTATTAGCTTCCACTGGAACTAGCATTCTAATTACAAAAATTTAAAAATCCATTTCCCTTTCCCACAGAGGAAGCATTTATTTTCTCTGGCTATCAAATTCCAGGAACTAGATACGTGATTCAAATAAATATTATCCTCTGAAAATTTTGGCTTTTCAGAAGACATTTTTGATGGAAACTGGTATTCTGTGAAGTTCAGGCAGGGTTTTTTAACTTTAGCAAACTTCACATGTGTGGACGTCAACTCCCATAATCTGGGAGTTGATGTCCCCATGTCTTAAAGCAGGCTGACTGGGGAATTATGGGTGTTTGTTTGTTTATTTATTGATCCAATATATTTGGCCACTCATCTCAGTGAGTGTCTCTGGGTGGTGAGCAGAATTAAAATAAAACGAAAACAATTGCAAACCTTACAAAGCAGCCAAGAAAACAACAAACCCAAACCAGAAACAGTTGACATCCATGCATCTTAAAGTTCCCCAGGCTGAATTCATGGTGCCCTTTGGCTCTTCCATTGCTTGACTGGCAAGACATTAAGACTCAATTAGCATAGAAAACTAAAGTGGGCCAGTTTGGTCTTTGTGGTGAAGGCACCAGGCCACAGAGAGTTCTAGTCTCACCTTAGCCATGAAAACCAGCTAGGTGACTTTGAGCCACTCCCTCTCTCTCTCTCTCTCTCTCTCTCTCTCTCTCTCTCTCTCTCTCTCAGCCCACTGAGCAGGGCTGGTGTGAGGAAAATAGGAGGCGGGAGAAGTAATAGGCATGCTTGCCAGCTTGAGTTATTTATAAAATAATAAAGGCAGGATACAAATGAATAAAAGCTGAGTGTGTGAATAAAAGAGTGAGGGGCATGACAGCTAGAGGAAAAAACCTTCAGTTAATAATAATAATAATAAAGTTGGAAGGGACCTTGGAGGTCATCTAGTCCAACCCCCTGCTCAGGCAGGAAGCCCTATACCATTTCAGACAAATAGTTGTCCAGTCTCTTCTTAAAAACTTCCAGTGTTGGAGCATTCACCGCTTCTGGAGGCAGGTTGTTCCACTGGTTAATTGTTCTGTCAGGAAGTTTCTCTTTAGTTCTAGGTTGCTTCTCTCCTTGATCAGTTTCCATCCGTTGCTTCTTGTCCTGCCTTCATGCGCCTTGGAAAATAGGTTGACTCCCTCTTCTTTGGGGCAGCCCCTGAGATACAGGAAGATTGCTATCATGTCCCCCCTCGTCCTTCTCTTCATTAAACTAGACATATCCAATTCCAGCAGCCATTCCTTATATGTTTTAGCTTCTAGTCCCCTAATCATCTTTGTTGCTCTTCTCTGTACTCTTTCTAGAGTCTCAACATCTTTTTTACATCGTGGTGACCAAAACTGGATGCAGTATTCCCTTTGCAAATGTTTGCCTAATGGTTAGATTATGGTTAGTTGCAGGTTGCCACTAGCTCGGTCACATCTTGCATTTGGCGGCCTGAATGCTTGCCTCCTGCCAAATGTAGACTAGCCTCAAATTCTGCGAGGCACCAAAGAAAGACAGATTATACCTGGATCCTAGAACTTCTAGAGGCTAGGATGAACTTAGTTTATTGGAACTTAAATATTTTTTACATCTGGAAGGAAGGCAAAAAGCAAGTCTTATGCTTTTTGAGACCACAGTTCTGTTTCTTGAAAAGGAAACTGTAACTGAAGGGCCCCAGATGAGAGTGGGGGAGAGCTAAACAACGGAACAAGATGCTTCATTGATAAAGGAAGTGGTCGGGCTTTGAACCGGGGTGGGCAGGTTTCCTGTGAAAGCTGGAGGTTGAAAGAGTGGGCGTGACAAGTGGCAGACTGATTTCTGGAGGATATTACATCATGCTTAGGTTTCATTTTTTAAAACATTTGGGTTTGGTTTAGTTTGGTTTCAAGCAGGGGTGATAGCTTCTTTTCCTCCTGCTGTAACTCTTATCAGGTGCAAATGCTTTCAATTGCCTCATTTGTTTGGAAAGGGAAAAGAAACATTTGCAAAAAGAAAAAAAAAGTACTTGGTGCCAGTCCAACAGAAGGGATGTTCTGGGCAGCCACGATTTGCCTCCAGGAGTTGTGGGTGCTCCAAAACAGGAGGTTTTTAAAAAGAAACTGGACAGCCGTTTATTTGAAATGATATTCCTTGAGCACAGGGCTGGACTAGAAGACCTCCAAGGTCTTCCAACTCTGTTGTTCTGAGCTTGAGATATGGCTTTGCACAATCTGACTCCACCTGCCAATATATCCTCGGTTTGCTTTGGCAGAGCTTGCAAACAGCTGATAGAGCTAGCAAACAATGATAGATGCTTGTTGGTAGCTCAAAGTTTCCACATTTCTGAATGGAAAGAATGTGCTTGTATCATGCTGGGAGAGGAACTCTTAGTCACGGCCATGTTTTGCACAGCACTGGGGTGGTGCCAGGCTTTTAGGAATGCTTTATTTGCATCCAGAAAAAAAATCATAATTAGATTGCTTGATTAATTGGGAAGGGTCCCAAATATGTCCAGGTAAAGGACAGGAAATCTCAGGTTTTATGCTAGACATAGAAGTTGAAAAAACACGCAGAAGCCAACTGATAACATACTAAAAGCATCTGAGTGGCTAATGGCCTCCCTTGAACTAGCCTTCCTAGATGTGGTGTTTTCAATGTGGTCAACACAAGAAGACACTAAGAAGAAAGGTTTCTTGGTGTCCCAACTTAGAAATGGTGGGAGTAGAATTTCCAGCTGGAATTTTATTGGGAATAGAATAGAATAGAATAGAATAGAATAGAATAGAATAGAATAGAATAGAATAGAATAGAATAGAATAGAATAGAATAGAATAGAATAGAATAGAATAGAATAGAATAGAATAGAATAGAATAGAATAGGAAACAGAATAGAATAGAATGCAAAATGCAAAATGAATAGAATAGAAAATATGGAAATAGGAATAGAATAGAATAGAATAGAATATAGAATAGAATAGAATAGAATAAGGAATATAATAATAGAATAGAAAATATGGAATGGAATGGAATAGGATAAAATATAGAATAGAATAGAATAGAATAGAATAGAATAAATAGAATAGAATAGAATAGAATAGAATAGAACAGAATAGAATAGAATAGAATAGAATAGAATAGAATAGAAAATATGGAATGGAATGGAATAGATAAAATATAGAATAGAATAGAATAGAATAGAATAGAATAGAGGAATAGAATAGAATAGAATAGAATAGAATAGAATAGAATAGAATAGAATAGAATAGAAAATAGAATAGAATAGAATAGAATAGAATAGGAATAGAAATATAGAATAGAATAGGAATAGAATAGAATAGAATAGAATAGAATAGAATAGAATAGAATGCCCAGCAACAGGGGCAGCGCTTTGGCTGGCTCAGTGCCTGCAGCGCCACCTGCTGGTGACATGTCAAGCAGCTTCTTTGTACCAGCTTCTCTCTTTTACCTAAAATTAGCCCAGTCTGTTCTTAGAGCAGAGAGGATAAGTTGGAAGGGACCTTGGAGGTCTTCTAGTCCAACCCTCTCCTCAGGCAGGAGACCCTGTACCATTTCAGACAAATGGCTGTCCTGTCTCTTTTTGAAAACCTCCAATGCCGGAGCACCCACAACTTCTAGGGTTAACCAGAAATGTCCCAAAAGAGCAGGCGGAAGACCCATGTGAGGGGAAAAAAAAATACAATGTCTAAATTTAGAAAATCCTGAGACAATGTCAACCCTGTGAGGTAGGCCAAATCAAAAAATGCTCTTCCAGCAATGGTCTTTCTTGGAGTAAGATAGAATTAACAGAACCTCGACAGTTTGTCCCGTTTTCCTTCTTTCACATCTTATACTGAGGAAAATTGAGGCAGGGGTTTTTTGAGTTTCTTTCACACATGCCCCTTTCTCCGGACTAAGACTTTTTTTTTTTTTTGCAAGTCCCTCCTTAACATCTTTTTAGATAGTGAGGCAGGAGACGTGTACATTTCATAAATGTAAAATACTCTTTCCTCCCTTCCTTTCTCCAAATCAGCTTGATATTTGTTTTATTTATTTCAGATATTTGTTGCCTGCTGTCTACCGCAAAATAAATCAGTCAAGTGGGCTCACAGCGTAATTCAGTACTGAACAAAATTCAGCATAAATATCAGCCTGAGTAATGTGGCCAAAGCGAGGAGAGTCAAGAGGATTCAAATTTTCCTTCCTCCCTCCCTCCCTCCCTCCCTCCTTTTTCCTGTTTTTAAAATCCTTCCTTCCCTCCCTCTTCTTTCTTTTCCTTTGTTTTTAAAATCCTTCCTTCCTTCCTCCCTCCGTTTTTCTTTTTTCCTGTTTTTAAAATCCTTCCTCCCTCTTCTATTTCTTTTCCTGTTTTTAAAATCCTTCCTTCCTTCCCTGATTTCTTTCTTAATGGATGTTCATCTGAAAAATGACTCAATTAGAAAGCAGATTCTCTCTCACACACAGGTATCCATCACACAAGGTGGGACCTTCAAGAACTTACATGAAATAAAAGCCACAAAAATAAAGAGCTCAGGAGAGCATGGAACAAGAAACATGCTCCAACATTCTGAGTGCAAAATCCTCATATTTCTGGTGCAGATTACCCTTGATTACCGAGCCCGTGTTTTAATGCACACATGCCTAAAGTGGACCCTCCTTTAATGCAGCAAAGGCAAAAAAAAAAAAAAACTAGTTTGTGTTCACTTATTTCATCTGGGCACTGGATTAACTTGGACTTACAAAATAGAGTGAAACAAAACCACTCAGGCAGGATTCTCCCTATACATCTAACCAAGGTTAATAGCAGCCCACCTTCTTGCTTTCTTCACTTAATGCTCACCACTTGGTCAGTCCTGGAGGGGATGGGGGTGGTGGTGTCAGGAATTTAACTCCAACTTGAAACCACAAATCTTGGTTATCAAGGGAATTTGGATGTTTCAGAATGATCTGAGTTGTTTTTTTCCTTCTGAAAGAAAGCTCCGGGAAGGACTGTAGAGAAACGAGGTTTTTCCAGACTGAAACAGAAGCTAAAATCATTTGGGAAGAGCATTTCACGTGATTTTCAAATGCCCGTGAAGAAGTCAACCCAGCGATCAAGGGAAAACCTGCTATCGGAAAACTCCGGGAGCGCAACAGGCCCGTTCTCTGGACCAAGAACCTCCCTACAAGGTCAGTTTCACTGAGGCTTTTTATTAAGAACTTGCGGGAAACCCCATTCAGACGTGTCTATAGTTCTTCCAGGGAAGATGCCTTTAAAAGCCCTCCCGTTCCCTTTCTCCCTCTCCAACGCGACGCTTTCCTTCAACCCGCCCCAAGCCCGGGGCTTCTCGGGGGCGCCTGCCTGGCGAGCGCCTCGCACGTCCGGACGGCTGGCTTCACGTGTCAGCAGGGCCGGCCTTCCTGCCGGCGGAACGCTGGGCTTCCCGGAGGCTCCACGGAGCCGTCCTCGCGTCGCTTCCCCACGAGCCCGGGCGGCGGGACACGCGGGGATCCCGAGGCGCGCGAGGGGGGGGCGTGGGCCCCGAGCGGCCCCGAGCGGGGAATTCGGGGGGCGGGGAGGGGGCGTGGCCTAGGCAGGGAGTTCCCGGTGAGCTCCCATATATGGCCAGCCGGGGCGGGGCTCGGCAGGCGATTTAAGCTCCCTCCCGGCCTGCAGGGAGGCAGAACTGGCGCGGGCTCCTGGCTGACTCGCGTGTTGGAGGGCGGGGGGAAGTCGTCGTGGGAATCGGGTCCGCCGGGCCGCTCTTGTGCATTTCTGCCCGCCTTCGCCCCGCAGCCGCCGGCCGGCATGGTGATCGAGGACGTGGTGCCGCTGGAGAGCTCCGGCTTGGCCCGGCTGCTGCGGGACCCGCAGGAAAGCGGCCGCACGCTGGTGCTGGACTGCCGGCCCTTCCTGGCGTACTGCCAGGCGCACCTGCTGGAGGCGCGGCCCGTGCACTGGAACGGGCTGCTGCGGCGGAGGTCCCGCGGGCGGAGCGGGGTCGGCCTGGAGCGGCTGGTGCCGGACCGGGCGCTCCTGGGCCGGCTGCGCAAGGGCGAGCTGGCCCACCTGGTGGTGCTGGACGAGGCCGGCGGTTCCGTCTCGGCTCTGCGGCCGGACAGCCTGGCCAGGCTGCTGCTCAACGCGCTGCTGCGGGAGGAGCGAGCCGGGACGTCGCACATCTACCTGCTGCAAGGTCAGAAGCCGGCCCGGAGGTCCCCGGGACTGGGGGGGGGGGGCAGAGGCAGGGCTAAGCGACGGGTCCGGCCCTGGTTGCGTTCGCACGGCCCGCGGAACCCGGGTATGGAAGGAGCCGACCCACGGCTGGGCTTGGCGGTTGTGGGAGCTCCGAACCGGGTTCGCCCAGCAGGTTCGGGCGCCGGGAGCCAAAGCGCGGTTAAGGTGAACCGCTGAGCTTGATTGAGGCGGTTGTGTGAATCCTGACTGAAGAAAAGCGCTGAGATTTAAACGTTAAGTGGTTTGCGTAGGAAAGAGTCAGAAATGAAAAGCGTGGAAATAAAAAGGAATTAAATAAAAAAGAGGCAGGATGGGATTATTCCCTGCCCCCTGCCAATATTCTTATTAGGCAATCATAAGAAATATTTCATAATATCGTTGGTAAAAATGTCCTACTGTTAACTGATTTGGAAAGCCCTTGATAGGCTACCTTTGCTTTACACAATCTGGATTCACACACTGAATCCTAAACCAGGGTTAAGCACACGTTGTAGCATGGGTTCACATCAGGCCTAGATCGGTAACAGTTTGGCTTCTGGGCACAGCATGGTTGGTGCAGCCGGCTTGAAGGATGTCTGGTTCCTCACCATCTCACCCTCAAAATACCCAGGTACATTTCATCCTAGTAGGGCAGGTTGTGGGAACTCAACCTTTCTCAAAGACAACTTCAAGGAAAGACAGAACGGGGCGCATCTGCTGAGGGCTGAGGAGAGTAAGTCTTGGTCTCTCCCCCCTGAGAGAAAAGCTTACAGAACTAAAGCAGAATAATGGTTGATCCCAGGAACATGGTCAAAAAAGTCAAGATGGCAATCATTGTAATGGTGTGATGGATGCTCTTTTTTTTTTGAGCTTCAATCTTGGCTGTCACCCCAACTTGCAGCACCTTCAGTTGGGGATGATGGGCAACCTTTCAGTACCTGTCAATCATTTTGGATTGTGTGGAATCTCATTAAAAGGCATTCATGCCCAGTTTTGGCAAAAGTGGAGCATCAGGACCAGATTTCAGGTTGACCTGTTTCATGCTGACTTCCGAGGAGATTCCAGCTGGATCTTGTAGTAGGAATTAAACCGGAGGGGTGATCACATTGCCCAAATCTATAGTTTGGCGCATCTGCCATATTTCTTTCAGCAATCAAGCATAGGCGTAAATGGCCCTCTTTCTGTCTCCTGATGGTGCACCTGTCTACAAGATTTTGGATCTTGCTTCATCACTTGGTCCTGCCTCTGTGGTGTCCACACATCAGCAATCTTGGGCTATCAAAACATGGTTTAGCCTCTCAATTAATCGGATCACTTCGCAAATATTAGCTGTGGCCTCTCCTTGTCACCACCGAAGCACATAAAATTATAGTTGGAACTAAAAATGTTCCTTGCCTGCTCTTGAGTCTTTCCACTGGAAAATTTGGGTCATTGAGCCAATTGGGGCTAGTAGTTAAGACACTGGGGTAGAAAACAGGAGACTCTGAGTTCGAATCCCACCTTAGCCATGAAAGCCAGTTGGGTGACTCCCTCTCTCTCTCTCTCGCAGCCCAGCCCACCTCAGAGGGTTGGTGTTGGGGAAATAGGAGGAGGAAGGTGTGCTGGATATGTTCTCTGCCTCGAGTTATTTGTAAAAATAATAAAGGCAGAATAGAAATAATAAAATCAATGAAATTAAGGAGACAGGCTTCTTCCAGCAGATGCTTTTAAGCAGCATTTCTCAACCCTGGCAGCTTCCCGAGGGGTGAACTAGAATTCCCCCCACCCCCTTAGAAAGCTGCCAGGATTGAGAAACTGCTTTTAGATGTGAAGGATGTCCTGCTTACTGATAACCAGGTTTCCCATGCAGGAGGAAATAGCCTGGAAGGGTGCTATTATATGCCGTCTCCCAACTCAACAGCCCACTTCCTTCCAATCTCTCTCATCTAGGTGGCTTTGAACACTTCCAAGCCAACTTTCCAGAACTGTGCGCAGTGGCACCACCTACCTTGGCGCCTTCCACAGCCTTAAGAAGCCCTGAAGACAATGGTGGAGAAGTGGTGACTCCCTTGTATGACCAGGTGAGTTCCTGGACTGGGAAGGTGTACAGCAAACGGATAAGCAGAAGCTACAGACCTACTAACACACCTGTAACTCCCCAAGCAATTTTTTTTTAAATTAATCTTCTGGTTTGCTGTTAATTAAGCTGTCTAGACTTCGTAGAGTGAGTAATCCTTGGTGAAATGATTGCACGTGTGGTGGAAAACCAACTGGCATGGCATTTTATTCATCCAGCCTTTGCTTAAGGCTTGGAGCTGGTCACAAACAGAGCTTGGATTTTAGCTGTCCGCATCTCATAATCATTTTTAAATCAATTAATTATGTTTTAATTGCCTATTGCGAGCATCTCCGTGCAGGAGTGTCTTGGCGATAACTAAGGGGGTATGAAAGTTTGTCTCTTCATGTTTCCTCCTTTGTGGCTTAATTACAGCTTATACCAGAACCAAAATATTTATAAAGTCCCTTTAATTCTCAGCTGTCATCCATTCAAAAATTAATGAATTATGCAATATAACCCAGTTGCTTTAAATAGTAACACTTCTTTCTCCTCCTAACATTTTGAGGTTTCTTCTCATTTTGCTGAATGTGGAATTACGGCAAGTTGGCCGTGATTTGCAACAATTTATCTAGTCTGAGTTTTTCAGGGTTTGGGGGAATCTTACATTTATGCCATATACAAAAATGGGCTTAATTTGTAACCTTCTGCCTTCTTATCTGGAAGAAAGACCCAGATATCTAGAGAGCCTCACTTACATTTAAGCTCTTCAACATTAGCCACTGGAGGGACCAAAATGAGAAATAAGAACTCCTTGAATTAAAGATTTTTTTTTCTTGTGAAAACAATTGACCAGTGGAATGGCTTGCCTTCAAAAGTTGTGGGTGCTTCATCACTAGAGGCTTTTAAACAGAGACTGGACACCCATTTTTCTGAAATGGTTTGGGGTCTCTTGTCTCAGCAGGGGAAGAGGCTAGACTAGAAGACCTCCAAGGTCCCTTCCAGCTCTGTTGTTCTGTTAACTGGACATCTTACTGGACATCCATAAAGCTATGCTGAAGGGCTGCAGACCTTCAGAAAAACTGCTTGACTGTGCAGAAGATGGGCTTTGCCCCTTTCATCGTCTCCCTGGATATGATCAATAGAGCTTTTACTCTTATTTTTTCCTGCCATTTGGTTTTCTCATTACACTACAAAGTATGACTTGCTTCATGTGGTTGGGCTAAACCAACATTCTCTAAATTTGCTTATTGAACTAAGCACTGAACCATGACATACAAGCCTAGTGGCTAAGTTCACACAACAAAAAAATAATCACACGTTGCCTTAGTCCGTCAAGTGGAACCTATAACTCTTAGGAAGGCAGAGAAGAAATCTGCAGGAAGAAGGTTCTAGCCGCTACCCAACTTGCCAGAGACAGCTGGGAAAACTAGTGTGAATTGAAGAAGCTTTCCGTGCTAAGCTGTGCAGAAAAAGTGCAGGATGGGGAGAAGAGCATAAAACCTGAAAAAAACCTGTTCTCCTTGGTCCTCTTGCAACTACTGTTTAATTTTTTTTCATGCATGTTTCACACAAGTTAAACTGGCATATAAATTTAATAAAGAAGTTCTGTCTTTAACTCGTCAATGGACCCCAAAGCTGAACATTGTCCTCTTGGTTTTTCTTTTTCAGGATGGACCGGTGGAGATCCTACCTTTCCTTTACTTGGGTAGCTGTCACCATTCCTCCAACAGAGAGGTGCTGGAGTCCCTGGGAATCACAGCGGTCCTTAACGTCTCTTCCAGTTGTCCCAACTACTTTGAAGGACACTTCCTTTACAAGAGCATTCCAGTAGAAGACAATCAAATGGCCGATATCAGCATCTGGTTCCAGGAAGCCATTGATTTCATTGGTGAGTGCCATAAATTGGAGAAACCCATGGTTTCTGTGTGGACCATTCGGGAGGGGCGTAATTCAGCCCCTTGGCTCTCTGAAGAATGGCAGGTCTCCATTGGTTGACACAGTGAAGTCATTGGAAGAAACAAAGCTGCATTAGATGGTCCAGTTTGACCTTTCGACTGGAAGGGATAAGGATGGTGCTAGTTATAAGAAGCTTCCCAGAGACAAACCATTCCTATTTACACCGTTAAACCACTCTAAATCGTCAGTAACTGATGGAAATCATGTGCCTGGAATTTGGCCATCCTTGTCACCAAATGTTGATGATGTGATCTTGAGAATGGGTGCTGGTGGGAGGAGGGAGGGGGCATCATCACTGTCCTGAAAATATCTGCAGGTAACTAAATGAAGCTGCCTTGAGGTCTCTTTGGGTTAATGTTCTATTATACTGCCACACATGGAATATGATACAACAGTGATTCATATCCAACTCATTACATAATTAGGGCAACCTCAGCTTGGCCAAGGAGGTCTCTTTAAAGATGAGATTAGAGCTTTGGACCTAATTAGGGAGGGTGGCTCTTCCAGAGACCACCAGCAGCTAAATATAGAGCTTGCAGATACAGAGGCAGTCCACCTTATGGATCCAGTCTGTCAAAGGCAGGCTGGGGAGAGACCGGTGCTCCTGTGTCTTTCTTGTGAACTTTATGGAGCAGCGAGTGATCCGAGAGAGATCCTTGCCTTGATCTACCTAAGCAACTTTGAACAACAGAAGCTATTTCCTGGACCAAGTGGGAAATGAACAGATTAACAGAGATGGGAAGCATAAAAGTTTAATAAATAAATTAAAAAATGGGTTACAGTTGGCACGGAAGAAGTCTAGGACAGGACCGTCTCTCCCCCCCCCACCTCTGACCTCCACCTCTCCTGTTCTCTCGGCAGACTCTGTGAAGGCCGGCGGTGGGCACGTGCTGGTACACTGCCAGGCTGGCATCTCCCGCTCAGCCACCATCTGCCTCGCCTACCTGATCCAGAGCCAACGGGTGCCGCTGGAGGAGGCCTTTGATTTCATCAAGCAGCGCCGCGGAGTCATCTCCCCCAATTTTGGCTTCATGGGGCAGCTCCTGCAGTTTGAGACGGAGGTGCTCTGCCATTAGCCGGGGGCTCCTGGTTGCTCTGCGGAGGAGGAGGAAGAGGCCAGGCGGCTTCTTACGGACCACAGGTGGGGAGGGGGGGCATTCCTGTTTACATCCCAGATTTTTTTGGGGGGGAGAGAACCGCGAGCTGGGCAATGGCCTCCTCCCTTTTCTTTTATTGCACTGATTGGTAGCAAGGAATCCCCAAAGCGGGAAAGGACTCGTCCTGTCCCGTGTGAAATTGCCGCGATGACTTATTCCGTGACTATGAAAGAAAAAGTGAATAAGCTGGAAATGAAGAGAAATAAATGTGAGATGAGCAGGTTCAACACTGTTGGCAGGAACCGCTCGGCCCCTCTGGTGAACTCCGTTGTCCCCAGGGAAGAGAACCAAATGTTATTTATTTGTACATTGTTCTACGAGTGAATCCCACTGGCGGCTAGTTGGTGCGTTGCGTAAATCGAACCCGAGTACAGGTAGTCCTCAACGTATGACCACAATGGAGCCCCAAATTTACATTGGCTAAGTAAGACGTTTGTGAAGGGAGTTTTGCCCCATTTTGATCACGGGGATGCTGCAGTGTTCATAGGTGTGAAAAATGGTCATAAGTCCCTTTTTCCAGTGCTGTTGTAACTTGGAATGGTTGCTAAATGAACTGTTGTAAGTTGAGGACTATCTGTATCTACCCTTGGGTCCTCCAAAATTTGATTTGGTGCCATTCTTTCTAGCCCAGGTGATGCATGCTTGGGTGTCTTGGATGCTCCCAACATCCTTGGAGGACTTCAAGTCATGGACTGAAATCACCACATTTTTTTAAAAAAAAGTCATAATATATATTAAAATAACAGTTTAAAAAAGAGATCCAGGTTGCCGATAGTCATACATTTGAAATGGGGGCAAGTTCAGGTTGCTGCTACACCAGGGGTCTTCAGACTCGGCCCTTTTATGACTTGTGGACTTCAACTCCCAGAATCCTGGGAGTCAAAGTCATAAAAGGGCCAAGTTTGAAGACCCCTGTGCTACACTGTTGGTCATCAAAGCAATACTCAATTGTTCCTCCATACGTGTGCTATTAGGAGAATCTCTTTCTTGATGGACATTGATTTCAAAATGTCTTCTGCACTTTATATTTATTATCACCCGTTGCAATAAACAACCACTTTTTATATGGCAGGAGGTGTGTCTCCAAATGCTTGCTCGGTTGGGGAGTCCGTCCTTTATTTATTGCCTGAATGATTAAATGATTAATGTGCCCTAAGCATACCGAAGAGGCACACCCGGCAACAGGGTCAAAAAAGTCAAGATGGTGGCAGCCATGGTGTATTTAAGGCTCCATCTGTCCAGGAATTTCTGCCTTGGGTGCTTGGCTGACAATCTAAGCACCCCGTTACCTATGAAGGCAATAATGGGGGCTTTGTTTATGCAATACCCTAAGCCATGCTTTGCTTAACCTTAGTTGAGTGAATAAGCCACATTACTTGGTTCCCACAATATATTGTGTTAAACTATGTTAGGGTCAACATTTTGAAATGCTTATTGATGAGCCCCATAGAGAACCCTTCGTATCTTTATTGACTCACATAGCAGCCTCTGCAGCAAAGTGTCAAAATTATGACCGACACAATGATGTCATGGCTAAAGATGGCTTATGATGTAATGCTTGACATGAATGTGTACTGAACATGGTTGCCTTCATGTGACATCACTCATGTTTTGTAATTTGCCCCCAAACCAACAAGAAGCCTGCCTCCCTTGACTTGATGGAACTTGAGGAGCTGCTTTTAAGTCATCAGGGTTCATACGCTCAATCATGGTTCATTTAATAAACCATAATGGCCCAGTTCACAAGTAGCAACCAATATACTGTGGCTAAAACATAGAACATCATCAGCATTGGAAGGGACCTTGGAGGTCTTCTAGTCCAGCCCCCTGCTCAAGCAGGAGACCCTATACCATTTCAGACAGTCCAGTCTTTTCTTAAAAGCCTCCAGTGATGGAGTTCCCTCAACATCTGAAAGCAAGCTGTTCCATAAAAAAAAAAAACCATTAGCAGCCATTGGCATGGAGATGCCAGGACTCAAAATGCTAGGTGCAAAATTCTGAGAATGTCTGAGATAGAAAATGGGACGTTTCAGGCCACAAACGCACCCCCGTGCACACGTGTGCGTGCCTAAGCAGAGAGAAACACTCATCTAAATGTATTAAAAGGCAGCTAAGTTTAGGAGCTGCGTTGGAGAAGAGCCATGAGGAGGCTGACAAACACATCTGGGGAGGCATGACGCGAGGGGGCTGAGATGAAGCCGGGCTGATGAAATCCAGCGCGAGTGGAATATTTCTGGCTGCCTGGGTGGGTGGAAAGTGACAAGCAGTCACAAGCAGGGGGTTTTCTCCAGACCCAGCGGGGTGTGTATGTGTGTGTGTGTGTGTGTGAAAGAGGCTTTAACACAAGACGCCCTGCTCCCAAGTCATTAGGGTGAAGGTGCTGGGGTGGAGTGAATGGTTAATCAAAGACTATATATATAAATAACATATTTATTCGTTAATCAAAGAATGGAACACATATTTACTCAAAGGAAAACGGGGGAGGCAAGCAGGAGGGGGGGGGGAAACAAGGGGGAAAAAGGCATGGGAATTTAATGGGTTGAAAGCAACCCAAAAATGAAGGCTGGAAAGCCCTTTTCTTGTACGCCTTTTGAAACGGCTCCGATGTTGGCAGTTTATACTAGAGGAGGGGTCTTCAAACTTGGCCCTTTGATGACTTGTGGACTTCAACTTCCAGAATTCCTCACCCAGGCATGCGTGCCTGGGTGAGGAATTCTGGAAGTTGAAGACCATAAGTCATCAAAGGGCCAAGTTTGAAGACCCCTGTACTACAGGGTGGCAAATCCAGTTTAGTCTGCATTCTCCCCTTAGCTGTGAAAATGACAAAAAGTTGTCTTGATGGATGCCAAACGCAGAGAAAGGGGCAAAAAACCCAGCCCGCCCCCTTCTTTGTGACCCAAGAGATGCTTGTTTTCACCCACTTACAGAACAGCAGTTGATCTTCCAATAAGGGTTGGATTAGAAGACCTTCAAGATCCCTTTTGACCCTTTTCTATGTTTCATATTCTAAGTCAGGTCTGCCTCACCATGGCCACTTTAAAACTTGTGGACTACGGTGGCTGGGGAATTCTGGGAGATGAAGTCCATAAGTCTTAAAGTTGCTAAGGTTGGACATCCCTACTTTAACCCCAGTTGAAGGGGTTAACTGGCTGGGGAATTCTGGGAGTTGAAGTCCACAAGTCTTAAAGTTTGACCCCCTGTTCTAAATCAGTCTTCAAAAGGGAGAGGACTTGAATCACAAAACTGCATCTACCATCTTGTCTGTTTACACATGCACACACCCCAAGAACAGAATAACAAAGTTGGAAGGGACCTTGGAGGTCTTCTAGACCAACCGCCTGCTCTAACAGGAATGCCTATACCATTCTGGACAAATGGCTGTCCAGGCTCCTTAAAAACCTCCAATGTTGGAGCACCCACAACTTCTGGAGGCAGGTTGCTCCACTGATTAATTGTTCTCAATGTTAGTATATAATTTTTTTCCTTACTTCTAGTTGGTTCTCTCCTTAATTAGTTTCTATCCATTGTTTCTTATTCCGCCTTCAAGTGCTCTGGAGAATAAGTGGACCCCCTCTTCTTTGTGGCAGCCCCTTAGATATGGCACACACACACACACACACACGCACACACACACACACACACACACCAGACACTTCCTGGCAGTGAAACTGACTGATCCTGTCAGACTGAAATTGCCTTCTCAAATGTCAGGGCAGGAGGGAAATGAGAGGCATCAGTCTAGCCCAGGAGACAATAAGACTGGTCCTTGCACTCGGGGCCAAACCTGCAACGCTCTGGGACTGTCTGCCCTGCTCTTCCTCCACCCTCTCACCTGGAGCTTCTTTTCCACAGGAAGCCTTGGCGTCAGTCGGCGGGAAGGGAGAGGCTTCCCGGCAGGATGGAACAGCTTCCTCACTTTCCCAAGAATCACCCCTTGGGGATGGAGCTGGGCCTCCGAGCTCCTGTGAGCAGAAGTCTCCTCCTGCATGGTCAAAAAAGTCAAGATGGTGGACACCGCAGTGCAATCAAAGCTCCACCTGGATCTCATATACCTTGCACAGCCTCACCTGCAGGCGTAAGGAGAAGGTCAGAAGGGAACATGGGTCTCTTGCACTGCAGGGTTACTAAGTCTGGTAAGACAGTCGGGTGTGTGTGTGTCCTGGGTGCAAGGGTGTTAGCAAGAATGTAGGACATAGATTAATAGAGTTGGAAGGAACGTAGGAGGTCTTCTAGTCCAACCCGCTGCCCATAGCAAGAGATCCTGTACTGTTTCAGGCAGATGACTGTCCAGTGTCTTCTTGGAAAGCTCCAGTGATGGAGCACCCACAACTTCTGGAGGCATGCCTGGCTGAGGAATTCTGGGAGTTGAAGTCCACAAGTCATAAAAAAGCCAGGTTTGAAGACCCCTGCCGTACAGGACAGGCCCACACCCAGAACCAAGTGTTAAGTCTACAAGGAGGAGGTCCATGGTAACCATCTGGAAGAACTTCCTGATTGTAGGTGCTTTCAGGGCAATGGAGCAACCAACTGAATCTCCCTTCTCCAGAAGTCTTCAGAGACTCCTTTAAAGCAGGAGTCCCTTTTCAGCTCATCAAACCCCCCCCCCAAGAAGTTTCAGGTAGTTCAACGACCCCCTCCCATATTTATGATATGAAAATAATGCAATAAACGCTACTTTAATTAACAGTACTATGAACAACAACAATGAATAGCCCCATTGACTCCCTTGGAGAAGCTTGCTCTAGAACAGGGGTTCTCAACCTTGGCAACTTTAAGACTTGTGGACTTCAATTCCTAGAATTCCTCAGCCAGCAAAGCTGGGAGTTGAAGTCCACAAGTCTTAAAGTTGCCAAGGTTGAGAACCCCTGCTCTAGAATCTCCTGGACTGAGCTGGAGCTTGACCAGGTGATGCTACCTTGCAATTCTAGGATTCCCAGCCTGAGTACAGCAAGGGGTTAACCTGCTTGTGCTTGCTTCACCTGAGCTCTATATAAGAAGCCCAACGAGCCATTTCCCTCAAGCCTGCTTGTTGTTCTCTCTTCCTGGGGCTACTTAGCAGTTAAGCCAAGAACTAACATTACAGGGGTTAGTTCCTCAGCCATGGGTCTCTACGATGCCTTTGGGGTCCTGGTGGTCGGCTGCTTTTGGCTTCTTTCAGGTAAGGCATCCCTGGTCCCCTCAAGCGGTTGTCGGAGGTTGGGTTCTAGCATGTTTCTCTTTAGTTTTGACTAAAGAGTCTTGAAGTCCACAAGTCTTAAAGGCCTGCAGACTTCATCTCTCAGTATGGTCTACAAGTCTCAAAGCTCTGAGTCTAGCCCTCGCATTTGAGAAGCCATGATTTGGGGCAGGGGGCCCAAGCTGGAGACTCTGTAGGCCAGCTGGGAGTCCTTGACACACACCCTTTACAATATTTTCCATTCTGATGACTCTCCTCCTTCACTTTGACCTCAAGTTGTACTATGTCATGCAAAGATCAAATGCAATGGGGCTTTTTTTTAAAAAAAACCAGGATGGTATAGGGCAGGGGCAGGCAACCTTGGCTCTTTTATGACTCATGGACTTCAACTCCCAGAATTCCTGAGCCAGCCATGCTGAGGGGAAAGGGAGAGGTTTCCAAGCTGAGCCATGCTGGCTCAGGAATTCTGGGAGTTGAAGTCCACGAGTCATGAGGGGGCCATAGTTCCCCCATGCTGGCTCAGGAATTCTGGGAGTTGAAGTCCACGAGTCATAAACGAGCCAAGGTTGCCTACCCCTGGTATAGGGTTTCCTGCCTGAGCAGGGGACTGGTCTAAAAGATCTTTGAGTATCCTTCCAGACCTAGAATTCTATGTTCTATGTCAGAGGTGTCCAACCTGGGCCATTTTAAGATCTGAGGACTTCCACTCTCAGTACTGTCCACAATCTTAAAGAGGCCAAGGTTGGACAAGCCTGTTCCATGTTTTTTAGGTTGTGTTTTTGCTTTATGGCTTGGTGTGATATCTGAATCAGGCCATAGTGGGCTTGTTCAATAGGACTTAGTTAAAGCAAACCACTGTTTAGTGGTTATGATAGTTAAACACTGCTCCTGCTCAGAAGTTACAACATTCAGCTGAGCAAGCATGGCTGACTGTGTCTGTTGTAGTGCTGACTACAAACCAGGATAGTTGTGTTCATTTGACTCCATTTCCCCCCTTGGATTGGGGAGGAGTGTTGTGTGGGGTTTTTATTCATAGGTTTGGGGGGGGGGTTGTCATCCCTGGCATCTTTTATTTTTTCACTTTTTGTCTGTTACTCTACTTTTCCTTGTTTTTAATATGTTTACATCCCGAAGTCCAGAGTCAGGCAGCACATAAATATAAATAAATGAAATAATAAAAAGTCTGAGTAATGGATGTTACCGTGATTTAGGAAGTTCTAGAATTACAAAATCTCTTAACTGATCTGCAGACATGTAATTTTCATTTAAAAATTATCCCGCTTAACATTTAGCAGAGGAACTCCTCCAAGTGGTGTTTCAAGTGGATTGTGCCTAACTCCAAAAAGTAGGCAGGGTGACCTTTTTAAGATGCCACAAGCATCCAAGGTTTATTATCCTATGCAAAGAGAATTTAGCCAACCTCCGTTTGAAATTCCTGGTGAAAAGCTGCCCTCTTATGGCGGACGCTGGTATTACCTCAACCAAAGCAAGGCAGGCTTTACAGATGTACAGGCAGTCCTCGACTTACAACAGTTCATTTAGTGACCACTTGAAGCTACAATAGCACTGATAAAAAGGGACTTATGACCGTTTTCCACACTTACGACCATTGCAGCATCTCCACGGTCACGTGATCAAAATTCGGTCACTTGGCAACTGGTTCACACTTATGATGGTCGCAGCGTCCCACGGTCACGTGATCCCCTTCTGTGACCTTCTGACAAGTAAAGTAAATGCGGAAGCCAGACTCGCTTAACAACGTTACTAATTTAACAACTGCAACGATTCACTTAACAGCTGTGGCAAGAAAGGTCGTAAAATGGAGCAAATCTCCCTTAACAACGGTCTCATTTGGCAACAGAAATTGTAGATTCAGTTGTGGTTGTTAAGTAGAGGACTCCCTGTTGTGCATTTCACTCACAAGGATCTCAGTTACATCAGAACGAAGGTGTAGGGAAAAACGCTGCCTTGGCTGCTTGAAGATATGTAGTAATAATAATAATAATAATAATAATAATAATAATAATAATAATAATAATAATATCCTGGGTAAAGACTCGATAGGTAGACAAAATGCCAAATCCAGTCTGAACATTTGGCTGACTGTGCGATGATCCATAATAATAATAATAATAATAATAATAATAATAATAATAATAATAATAATAATAATATAGTAATAGGCTCTTTGGGTGCAATCCCAAAACAACTGGAGCACCACTTGAACAACATTGGCATGGACAAATTCGCTGTTAGTCAATTGCAAAAGGCGGCCTTACTAGGAACTGCTTCCATCCTGCGACGATACCTATAATACCATCAAACATCCACATCTGCCTATCCCAGGTCCTGGGTAAGGACTTGATAGGTAGACAAAAATGCCAAATCCAGTCTGAACATCTGGCTGACTGTGCGATGATTCATAATAATAATAATAATAGAGTTGGAAGGGATCTTGGAGGTCATCTAGTCCAACCCCCTGCTCAGGCAGGAAACCCTATACCATTTCGGACAAATCTCTGCTTAAAAACTTCCAATGTTGGAGCATTCACCGCTTCTGGAGGCAGGTTGTTGCAAAGCTGGCTGGGGAATTCTGGGAGTTGCAGTCCACACATCTTCAGGTGGCCAGGGTCGAGAAACACTGCCCTAGCTGGTTGGTCAGTGGGGCCAATGACCGAGGAGGCGATGGGTTTTCCTTCCCTGGATGAGTTCTGACAGAAGCAGGAGAGGCTGTGTTGTATTCCTGCACTCGGCAGGCAGTTGGGCAGGATGGCTGAATTCCCCCCCCCGTTCCCCCTTCTCTTGGTTCAGCCCAGCCGGTTCCCGGTCGTGGAGACACCTTCCAAGTGGCGCCCACTCCAGATTATGAACTGGAGGAGGAAGAGGAGGTTCCTCGTGATGACATTCTTGACATCAACCAAGGTAGAACTTGCTGTCCTTTCAAAAAAATACATTAATCACTCTGCTGAACACTTAATGAGCATAGCGCTGTCTTGTGTCTAAGGATATTTACCCATGTAGCAGGGTGGTATTAGTATTATCCTTCTCATCTTTTCTACTACCTTCTCTTATTGGTATTTTATGATTATATCACTTTGTTATTTGTATGTACACAGAGAGCTTCTGCAACAAAGACAAATTCCTTGTGTATCCAATTACACATGGCATTCTATTCTATTCTATTCTATTCTATTCTATTCTATTCTATTCTATAGTTTATTCCCATTCCCATTCCATTTCCTATTCCATATTCTTTTCTAGTCCTAGTCCCAGTCCTATCCTATCCTCTATTCCTATTCCATTTCCTATTCCATATTCTATGCTATTCCATTTCATTCCACTCTAGTCTACTCTAATTAACTTTAATTATACTGTTGTAAAACTTGCTTTATACGTTGTATTAGTTTCAATATTGTGATATTTCTACAATGTTGATTAAAAATGATTAGCACTTGAATGTTTAACTAGTTTAAGCCACTGAATATTCAATAAAAGAAATAAGTACTATCAATCCTAATTACGCTTTGAAATATTAACGTTAATAAGCATCGAATCAAAGAACTCAAATATCTTTATTATAGTCTTTGACCAGCCTTTACACTAAAAAAGAGAAATAGCTTGACACAACAATTGAATTGAACTGAATACTTTATTTGATCAAGTGTGATTAGACACACAAGGAATTTGTCTCCAATGCAGAAGCGTTCAGTGTACATGCAAAGCAACAGAGAGAATAATAGTAGTAATAATAATACCAATAAAAGGAGAAAGTAAAGAAGGTAATAAAAATATAATAGCACAGCCACCCTAGATGGGTTAATATGCATCCAGATTAAGCAGCACTGCAAGAATTTATTAGGAAAGAAAAAAAGTAAGACAATAAAAAGCATCTCTAATTTTTGTGTGTGTGTGCAATTGGTGAATATATTTGGCTAATATCTGTAACCATCATAGTATTTGGCATCTGCATCTGGAGTTGAGTGGAGCAAGAAAAAAAGCGCCATGTTCTATGAAATTGTTTGTTATACAATAAATGTTTCCTTCCCAGATCTACTGCTAATATTAAGATCACCACTCTGTATTACTTAATATTGTTTCTACATACTTAAAAAGAAAAGATAAAGCTTCTGGGACAAGGATCAGAGCACTAATAGATATTTTTTTAAAAAAGGAAAAGAAGAAGGAAATTCAAACTTCCCTCTTTTGTGCATGGGTTAATTACAATATTTATAAAATTTTAGGCCCCCTTAGAAGTCCAGCTAGGAGTGATTAGGTTTCCTGAGTTTAAGGCTCAGTCCGGTTTGTCCTTAACACCATTCCCACATTCTGTTCCCAGGACTGATTCCACTGGAGGCACCTGAGCACAGTTTCCTGCTTGAAGGCGATATTATCAAGCTGGTAAGTCAAGATGCTGGAGAGATGGAGATCTCTAGCAGCTTGGCAGGGCCCTTCAAGGTCAGCCCATCCCAGGCTGTGGTCAAAAAAGTCAAGATGGCAGCTGCAACAGTGCAATTGAAGCTCCACCCATTTTTTGTGAGTGGAGTAGGGTGATGGAAAGGGTTACTATCAAAAATAACTATCCACTCTACCATCCGAAACAATTTCTTTGGGGTACGTGCTGTTCTATTGCCAAAGACCTTGAGCAGTCAAGTCCTTTTTAAAAACATTGCCAGAGAAATGCAGAAAAAAATTTCAAGCATCTTGAGAAAGGACTGAAGGAACGGAATTTTTTTTTTCATAGGAGAAGATATTTTTGGGAAATTGCAAGGCAATGCTTAATAAATTGGGTATGTATAGTGAAAAGAAGGACTAGGAGTAACATGACAGCAGTCTTCCAATATTTGAGGGGCTACCACAAAAAAAAGGAGGTTAACCTATTCTCCAAAGCACCTGAAGGCAGGCCAAGAAGTAACAGATGGAAACTAATTGAGGAGAGAAGCAATGTAGAACTAAGGAGAAATTTCCTAACAGCGAGAACAATTAACCAGTGGAACAGATTGCCTTCAGAAGTTGTGGGTGCAGTTACAGCTGTAGTTGCTGCACAGCTGACTTCTAACTGAAGTTCATTCTATTCTCTAAGTGGTTCTTATTTGAGTAAGAATTTTTTTTTAAATAATGTGATGGCTCCTAGTTCTAAATGCCCATACAATGCAGTGGAAACAGCATTTTTTAAAAAAATAACCAAAAGGAATCTTGTTTTTTTTTTCTTCCTGCAAAACACTTCTTGCTTTAAAGATTCGGAACAGAAAGCCCAGTTTGCTAGCGTTCCTTTGAGAAATTGCTGGAGATGTGGTCCTAAAGTTCAGGTTTTACTCGTTTTGGTCACCACAATATAAAACAAATGTTGAGACCCTAGAAAGAGTGGACAGATGACCAGGGTCATGGAGGCTAAAGCATACAATGATCAGTTGCAGGAACTGGGTATGTCTAACGAAGAGAAAGAGCAGGGGTGACATGATAGCTATCATTCAGTACTTGAGAGGCTATCACAGTGAAGAGGGGGTCAACCTATTCCTCAAAGCACCTGAAGGCAGGAGAAGAAGTAATGGATGGAAGCTTGTGAAAGAGGGATCAACCTAAAATTAAGAAGAAATTTCCTGATGATAAGAACAATTAATCAATGAAACAACTTGCCTCCTAGAGTTGTGGGGGCTTCAACGCTGAAGGTTTTCAAGAAGAGCTTGGACAACCATAGTGTAGGGTCTCTTGTCTGAGCAGGGGGTTGGACTAGAAGACTTCCAAGGTCCCTTCTAACTCTGTTATATTGTTACTGTTGCTCTTAGGTGGTCCTGAAAGGCCTCTGATGAAGCCTTTAAACATAGATGGTGAATTTTAATTTCTCAAATGGCAGAATGGTTATTACCATATTTTCTGGTGTATAAGACGACTTTGTAACCATGCAAATCATGCAAATACGGTAAATGCATGGAGAATAACTACAGTTACCCTAAATGCTAAGAGACGTGTATACGTGTCCTGAATTTGTGATTGAGGGGTTGCCTTTTTCTCTCTAGAGCCCCTTCAAGAGCTTCTCCTCTGCCAGTCCGAGATGGCCGAAGAGGAAAGGAATTGTCCGAATTCCCTACATCGTCTCCTATAAATACGGTAAGGAGCAAACTCTGGAAAAAACTTCCATGTGGATGAAAAGAAATAATAGCAGGCTTCCATTTTCTTGGAAAGAGTCAAAAGTCCCAGAGGTTCAACTTCAGTGGTGTTTCTCCAACCCTTCTGGAATCTTATGGTTTGCTTTTTCAACTGGGCAATCTCTAGCCAGGATCTTAAACCAGGATTCTTGGTAGGATGAAATCCTTCTAACGAGTGGCCAGGTGAAAGGGTCTAAGTCTCCTGGTCACAGTTCAACTTGCTGCTGAACTTGAAGATAATTTGTACATTTAATTTAAATGTCCTGTTTATTTCTGTATTTATTTGATTTAGATTCCACCTTTGCCTCAGGAGTTCAAGCTGGTACATGTAGCACTCTGTTTCCTTCCTTCCTTCCTTCCTTCCTTCCTTCCTTCATCTTTTCTGTCTTTCTTTCTTTTCCTTTGCTTTTAAAATTCCTTCCCTCCCTCCCTCATTTCTCCTTCATCTCTTCTACGAATTGGGAAGAGTGTTTGCTCTCCATATTTTTTAAAAAAATTCTTCCATCCTTATTTCCTCTAAGGACAAAAACAACAAAAAACAACAACAACCCTTCCCCCCCACACACACACACCAATTTCTTGCTGAATTGACCATTCCAGACCAACACAGCGTGCAGATCATCAAGGAAGCATTTGAAGACTTTGAAAAATTCACTTGCATCCAGTTTGTCCCTTATTCCTACCAGAGAGATTTCGTCTCCATCGTCCCTCTGTCTGGGTGAGTAACAGTGATTCCCATCTCAAATTTTGCTTCTTCCTGCACAGTTGTAGACTTCTGTGATCACACACCAAAGGAGACCTTTTTCAATTCTGCGCTGGATGGGGCTGATGGCAGCTGGAGTCCAATTTCACTCAAGTCCCGCAAGTTGGAGAAACTTGCTGCAGATAAATACATGCAAAAATACCCCACACACACACTACACACTCACTCACTTCTGGGAGATATATACAGGTAGTCCTGTGGTGAGATTCAAATAGGTGAACAACCAGTTCTCTGTGTGGATGCCACTTCTAGAAGTCCATTCTGGGCCTGGGCAACAAAAAATTAGCTACCGGTTCCGCCGAAATGGTGCAAACCGGCTGAATCCCACCTCTGTTTGGAGGTGTTTGTGTGTTTTAAATATTGCATCTTGCTTTAGCTTCAGGTTAGTGGCCTGTTTACTCTACGTCTAGTATGGCAAATGCCCAAGTCATTTTCATCTAAAGAGCAGGCAGCTTCGCCCAGGGCATTATTAGCCCATCTGATCTGCAATGCAACCCCTTAATTCCTCTCTTTCTTTCCAGCTGCTTCTCCAGCGCAGGACGCATCGGAGGCATGCAGGTGCTGTCTCTGGCTCCAGACTGCTTGAGGAGAGGGAAAGGGGTGGCTTTGCATGAGCTGATGCATGTGCTGGGCTTCTGGCACGAACACTCCAGGGCTGACCGAGACAAATACATCAACATTTCCTGGAATGAAATCTTGACTGGTAAGAGATGTGGCTGTTCTCAGAACCGTTTTGGGTAAGAGGAACGGCCGTTGCATGGCTGGATCCGCTGCGGCAAGTTATCTCCCAATAAGCTGGGATAGACTTAACAGAATAAAAGAGTCAGAAGGGACCTTGGAGGTCTGCTAGTCTAACCCCCTGCTCAAACAGGAGACCCTATACCAGGGGTAGGCAACCTTGGCTCTTTTATGACTCGTGAACTTCAACTCCCAGAATTCCTGAGCCGAATTCTGTGAGTTGAAGTCCAGGAGTCATAAAAGAGCCAAGGTTGCCTACCCCTGCCCTATACCATTCCAGACAAGTGGCTGTCCAGTCTCTTCTTAAAAACCTCCAGTGATGGAGCATCCACAACTTCTAAAGGCAAGCCGTTCCACTGGTTAATTGTTCTCCCTGTTAGGAAATTTCTCCTTAGTGTGACTACGAGCTCTGAGAAGGTAGGTCTAGCAAGTGCAGAGAAAAACTTATCCGTGCATTCCATCAGAATAAGTTAAATGTTTAATTTCCCCATTCTCTGCTATCTTTGAATCCAGATGGTTAGTTGCCTGCTAAAATTCCATGACCCCCAGATGATTAAAAGTGTCCTTGTTCATTTTTTTCAGGTTTTGAAATTAACTTCATCAAGAACTGGAATACCAACATGCTTGACAATTATGACTATTCGTCCATTATGCATTATGGGAGGTATGGAAAATTTATTTACTTATTTATTTGGAAGATTTATAAGGCCGCCCACTCACCCTTGTCACTCTGGGAGTGATATGATGTCAGACAAAAGGTACCATACCGCTTTATAAAGATGAATTTGCATTTGAAAAGAGTACATTGGGGTTTCAGTTAATATGACATTTAAACAAAGCAGCATGAGCTTAAAAAAATAACTTTGCGGCTAATTCATCTTCATTATTACAGAAATTAGGAACGGTTCATAGAAAGCATTATGAATGCAAATGACCATACCATTTTCCCTTTTTTTAAAAAGTACAGAATATTGCCATATTATTATGAACAGGATTTTTAATGATTTGCACCTTTTTAATTTAATATAGGTCATACTGAGAAAAATATTCCACTCATTGGGTACATTCTGTGCATGGAGAAGGTGTCTTTGGTAGTGTGTGTGTGTGTGTGTGTGTGTGTGTGTGTGAGAGAGAGAGAGAGAGAGAGAGAGAGAGAGAGAGAGAGAGAGAGAGAGAGAGAGAGAGATGGGGGGGGGAATGGGAAACAACTTTCTCTGCCTAAGATCTGTTATTTTTTGTCCTGGTTTCACTTGATCTACTACAAAAGGGAAGTTTGAGCTACATCATCTTCTCACCATTTTCAGGAATGCTTTCAGTATGACTGGCTTACCTACCATCATCCCACTTTCTGGTCCTCCTGCATTCCTCGGCCAAAGATGGAACCTGAGTGTTTCGGACATTGCAAAAGTCAACAAACTCTACAAATGTTCTCAGGTTGCAGCCCAGCCAGGTAATGCTCAAAATGAGTCAAGTTCTTGACAGTAATCAAGAGAGCTAGTTTCTTACAAAATCTTATTGTCATGTGTATCACAAGGAGAAAAAAGGTTGGATTAGATAATCTTCATGCACAATTATGGATATGTAGAGGGTAAGGAAGATGAGATAGGCACAACTTCACACGGCTTGCCTTGCGCATTGGCTGTTTTAACATTATGGGATTCCCCGATTGCACTAAACTGTGTTTTCTTGGGCTTTGGTTTTTAAGGGGTAATGTGAATTCAACTCTGGTTGATAAACCAGGTTTTATGGCTTGCTCACTTCATAAATCCAAGCAATTATGGCTTAGTCAAGTTGTCATAATAAGGCAAAACTGGACTAGCAAATGTGTAGGGAATGTCTTTTTCTATGACCCAGCAGCACGTGGTTATCTAATTTTTTGTATTATATTTCCAGAAGTGGTGCCTGAGGAAGCCATCAAAGAGAAGGTTATGGACTTCATCCCTGTTCATCCTGAGCTCTGTTCTAAAACCAATTTAGCCAGTACTGTTGTTAGAAAGACTACAGAGCCCATTTTGTCATCTCAAAAGACTGTTGGTGAAGATCTAAGCACAGTAGCAGGTCAGTTGAGGAGAACAGAGGGGGCAGAACAAAGCGTGGTGGTATCTGCCATGACCTCTCACATAGGAGAAGCAAGCAGAGAACTTCAGACGCCTTCAAAACATGTGCTGGATACAACACAAACTAGACAGGCAATAGACAGTGTTCTTGAGAAAGCTCCTACACCATGGACTTCCCAGAATCCAATCACTGGATGGCAGTTGAGATACCAATATCTGAAAGCGTATACACCAACTGAACAAAGCCCCACAGAAACAAGAGCAAGGGCTGCTCCAGAAATGGAGCAGACATCTTCCTCTCTTGCCAAAGGTTTTGTCCTTTCTTCAGTGGGAAAAACCCATGGAGCTATAACACCATTTGGTCAGAAAGAAACTAGTATGGAAGTTTCTGGCTCAAAAGCCACAGTCCTAGAGCCTACAAGAGAACTGTCTACAGCGGTGGAATTGGCAGGTTTGTTGGACATGGGAAGTAATGAGACAGACATTGGAATGGGTTCTCCAAGGTCCCCCCTATCTGTGGTGGAGGAACACTCCAAGGGACAATCAAAGAAGGCGTTCCATCAAGCCATAACTGTTTCTATGAATGAAACAGGCAGCCCAGCTTATATACATCCAGTGGAGGATGTTTTGACTAACGTGACTAGCTCTTTATCTCTCTCTGGCACCCTTGGGAACCCAACCACCATCTCCAGCCATATGGAACTGGGAGAAAAACGTCAAGGCACTAAAGTGGAAGGCCTGACAAACATTGTCACCATTTCTGGCTCAAAGTGGAGGGATGTGGACGCAAAAAGTTCATACCACGAGAAATCAACTATGCTTCCTTACATTCAATCTCCCACTATCAAAAATACACACGAACCTGGAGAAGTTCTACTTCCTAGAAAGGAGACACCAGTTCCTGTAACTCTGGAAGCTCAAACAAAATACATGGGTTGGTTCACTTCTGAAGCCCCATCATCTCTTCAGGGAGTGGTCACTGCCCATCCTGTTGCTTCAGAGTTAAAAGAGATCGGTTCCTTGTATAACAATTCTTCTGGGATAACAGGTTCATTTTCACTGCCACCACCTCACCTGGCAAGAAATGGTTATGAATGGGGGACATCCATTACTGGTGAGCCTCCTGGATCTGTTTCCTTGAATGTTACAGACAGGCAAGTGGAGGTTGAAAGCCATACCATGGATCATGCAGAGTTGCCAAGTCAAATTCCCACTTGGGGGAAAGTGGCTTCATTAGCAATCAAAACCATTGTGGCTGTCCAGCCTACAGAGCAAAGCTCTAAGACAGCAGCAGGACCAGGGGACAATAGGACTTGGTCCCAAACAAGCAGTGACATGCATCACCATCCCAGGTTCATCACTGAGGGATGGTCTCCATCTGCAGATGTAGAAAAACAAACACTGGAGAAGACTATAGAAACAGCATCTATGAAAACCCTAGAGAGGTTACCAATGACTCAAAAGATGGATGTGGTCCACAGGGAAAGACCTAGGCGAACCACTTTGACGAGACAATTTCCCACGGAACCATCTGGGAACCAAGTGTTCACCCAAGTTGAACAAGGGGATGAAGAAACTCAAAGTCAACATTCTTCTACTTTGTCAATAAAAACTGGAGCTGAATATCATGAGATTCAAACCAGCAATTCTACTAGTAGGCTGAGGGCAATGGTGTCTCCAAAACAATGTGGTAAGAAATTAGCAGTGTCTGCATCTGAAACACTAACTCCACACATGGAGCACACTGCTGAGAAATTCAGCTCTTTAAACAGGCAAACAGAATTGGGAACTACTGGCAAAAGGAGTCCAAAGCCAGAAATTCAAGAATCTGGCCCTACTTCAAGTTGGATATTTCAGCTAGGGAGAGAAAGAGATACTTCTCCCAGAAGTTTGGGTAGTTCCATGAAGCCAGGAGGTAGAAATGGAACCAATAATTCTGCAGAGCATCCTAAAGAAGAGACTTTATTAGTGAAAGTGAAGGAATTCACGCAAACAACTCCAAAGAAAAGGACTCCAGAGATTACTGTGATAAACGGTACCAGATCTGCTGCATTACTAACTGTTGGTTCTTCCAGTTTTTTCACCATTTTGGCTCATGGCAAGCCAACTCTCAACAGACCCCAAAGCCGTTTTTATTTGGGGGACACAGATTCTGTAACACATCCTGAAAACCTGTCTACGCGATCTCTAGAACTCAGCCCAGAAACAGAACTTTCCTTCCAGCTTAATAAAACTGTCTCTTCTGCAGAAGAAAGATCTGTCATGGCAGCCAGTGCAACAGCAGGATTGACTGTGGGTGGGATGAGCTGGGTCACAGCTCATGTTCAGGAAGGTGCAGCTGGGAGACATAGTACAGGGCCTCCTTCATTAGAAATGCAATCAATGTCTCTAGAAGGAACAGCCCCACCGCTGGTCACAGGTTCCTTACAGTCTCCCGAGCTTGTGAGCCCAAAAGAGGGATCTGTTGGTGGCCATCGTAGAACAGCTACATCACTTCCAAGGGACACATCCCCCATGGGCACTATAGTTGCACTATCTACTGATTTGTCCAGTGCTATCATTGTGGACTCTAGGGAAAACCAGACTATGATGCATTATGATTCAAAACGGGTCACAGGTATCCCTCCCAAAACAAGTGGAGAGATAGAGATGGACACCAATGGTAGCATTCTGGCTTCAACTGAAATCCATAGAACATCTCATGCTGGAGTTTCTACCAGGGGGTCCCATGAGAAACACACAGAACTTCTACAGTTCCAGTCTGAACCACAAACTAGAGTAAAGCCTTTAGAGGAAGTCACTGGGCCAATATCGGATGGGAAAACTTCAACCCATTTTCTGGAAGAGACATGGAAGATCCTTACAAAAGAAAATGATGCATACAGATCAGAGGAGTCAGCTGCTGCTGAACTCACAAGGGCTGAACAGGAAGGATCTGAACAAAGTCATATCAGCACAGCAGGTGCCACCAGTCTAGGTATGGAATCTTCATCTCAGTTAATTTCCACTAATTCCACCAAGGAAACAGAAGAATCCACAATCTTCAATGAGAAGAAATGGAATGTATATCACACTGCCAGTCCTTCTAGCCAATCATATTATGTTGCTTTCATTCCTCCCCATTCAAATGCCACAACACCAAATGTGGTACCATCTGTTTCTGATGTCTATAACCCTCATGATACAGAGAAGGTAAAAGCTGCAGATGTGTACCATATGGTCACAAAGTTCTCTAAAGGGGCTTTGGTGCATACTGGAATATCTCTTTCCCAGCTCCAAACTCTTGGCTCAACTGAAACGGAAAGGAGGTCTTCTACAATGTATGGAGCCAAAAGTCTGGAAGAAGCCACTAAGACTCCTGCAAGAGTGAAAAATGGAGAACTATTTACTCTTGCAACGGAATCATCCAGACAAATCTCTGAGACCCATGTTGCAGTGACACTAGAAGAGATGACTGGGGGCCATAAGAACAAAAGGAATCTAGAAGAAAACAAGTCTTTTTTTGCAAGCAATCCTGTCCATCTCCACCATATCAACAAGAGATCCCTGCTAGGAATAACGGCAGCTCCATCTTCTTTCATATTGTCTTCACTGGCTCCTCATTCTAAGCTGTTGCACTCAAATATTGGACATGTAAATCCCAGAAGGCTGAGCATAAAGAAATTGTTCCCAAAGAAGCGTATGCGTAAAATCATTACGGCTTCTTCAGGTGGGACCATACAACAACTGCTTCTTCCTGGATATTTACAAGGATACCGGAGTCATCCTGCCATTTCAATAGGAAACATGACGACACCAAGGGAGCCTGAGAAACCTTTATTGAGGTCCACTTCAAAATCCAAATTATGGACTCTTCTCCGAAAGTTGTCTCCTTCTGAAAAAAAGAGAGGAAATAACCAAGGGCCCAACCAGAGAACAACAGATAACATGTTGATATCCTGCTCCTTCAAGGAGAACCTGTGTGGCTGGAAGCAAAGTCAAAATGACAGCCTAGACTGGATGCTTCAGAAGGAAGAGAAGACTGCTGAGTCCATGGAAGATGACAGAATTTCCGAGAAGCCCTTCAGAAGTTTAGATGGTAAGGGATCTGATCTGATCTGAAGTCTTAAAAAGTAAAATGTCTCTCCCGTTTCTGGTGTTATATCTGGGTCTTCCAAATTTTTATTTATCTGCGCCTGTCTGTTGGTTTCTTCTTTCAAATCCTCTATCTTTATGTCAGTTTCCTTTATTTTTTTCTTCTGATTTCTCAGTTTCTAGTTCATTCTTTATGGTCATTTTCCGAATGTTTTTTTGCTTGTAAGTTTAAGTTGGAGAGTTGCTCATTTATGTTATTTAAATTATTTTTAGTCTCCCATCTTGCTTTTTTAAGGTTCAGCTTTCACAATCATAGATAGCTACGGGGAACACAAGCGAGCAAACTAACTACATTTGGTCGCCGTGCTTATGTCCTTGCTTTTCCATACTCAGATATGGAGTAGGCCTCATAAATGGGTTTCAGTTTGGGTCTCTCCCTCTGACCTCCTAACTCAGGGGTAGGCAACCTCGGCTCTTTTATGACTCATGGACTTCAACTCCCAGAATTCCTGAGTCAGCATAGCTGGGAGTTGAAGTCTATGAGTCATAAAAGAGCCCAGGTTGCCTACCCCTGTCCTAATCTATGGGAAAAGTCAGGTCTCCACAGCTTTCCAGAAGGCTAAAAGGGGAGGGGTGTCTCTGATCTCTGGTGGGAGGCTGTGCCAAAAGAGTGGGAGGTCACCAAGAAGGCATGGCTATGAGCTCCCATGAGATGGCAACATTTAGGGGAGGGGGACAGGCAAGTACCGTCAGGGAGAGCCCATCCTGCAAGTAACTTAGCCCTGTGCCATGGAGGGTCTTTCAAGTTGATAACCAGCACCTTGAATTGCCTCAGAAAGGAGCTTCAGATCTCTTGATTGTGACAGGCTAACTTGTGTCCACATCATTTCTTCACCAGGCTATATCTCCCTCAAGCCTTCAAATCATCTCTCAAAGCAAAGGGCTGTTTTGATCAGCCCTGTTGTGTACGGCATCAGATGTCTCCAGTTTTGGTACAGATCACCAGACTGTGCTGCAGGTAAATGTCTTCAGCCCTATTGGCTGGAAAATCTGGGGGCTGCATTCCCAACAGGGCTGGGGGTTGCATTCTGAGAAGGGTTCCAGGCTGGATTAAGCGATCCTGAAAATGGTGAGCCAAACATCCGGAGACGGATACATTTAGTCGCGACTTACAACAGTAATTGAGCCTGCAATTGCACGGCTGTTGGAACTTCAAAAACGGGCCATACATAGCTTTGGGAAGAGTCACTGTCACTTTGAACAGTGATTAAATGAGGACTAATTGTAGTGATCTTCAAGAGAAAAAATGTGAGGTTTTTTTTCGTTCTGTAGATAGCTGGTCATAGAGCTATTTATATTTTGTAGGCAAAATCAACTTCTACACAAAGCTTCTGAATTCCACTGACTGGCAGAAAGTGAGGTCAATGAAGGGAAAGCAAGATGTTGGTTGGCATCAAGTGACCTTATCTATTTCCACAACTTGGACATTACAGGTAAACATTCGTGGCATGTCCTAAAGGCAGAGGTTTCCCCTGTCCAGTCATGTCTCTCTTTCTTACCTGAGGGAGCCAGCATTGTCCAAAGGCACTTCTGTGCTCATGTGGCCAGCGTGGCTTTACACCAAGGGACATGGAATGCTGTTACCTTCCCACTGGTAGTACCTACTTATCCCCTCGCATTTACATGCTTTCAAACTGTGGGAGGAGAACAGGAGCTCACCCTGTTGCACGGTGCTCGGGTCCCAAACTGCCAACCTTCCGGTTGACAAACCCACTGTCTTAACCGCTAGGCCACTGCCCCCACTCCATGTCCTAAATACATATTGTAAATTAAACATGAATCAGGTACATGTTACGATACAGAGGAAGATCAGATGTGTTATTTCCTCCCCATCCCAAAATTCAACAACCTGTTTTCTAAGTAATCCTATCAACCCGCCTCCATTGTTTTTATGTTATATAGGCTGACAGGTGCCTTTAAAAATGGCTCGCTGGAAGCTTTTCCAAGATTTAAGCAAAAGATGCTGCCAAATTAGTAATTGTTGATGTTGCCACTTGACAAAACCCTTAAATCTGTAAGAAGTAATCATAGGGACTGTTTAATTATAACGCATTTAATGGTGGTGGTGACAGCGCCCTGGTCCTGTCTCCGCTTAGAATGTGCCTCTACCTAACGAAAGATAGCACACGCTTGAAAACTGTTTCCTTTTTCTCCCAGAAATGTAATTCAATTTTGGGGGGAACGGTCCGAGTGGTTAGAATGTGCTCTTTTCCATGTGCTCTCTCCACAGGTAGCGCTCGAAGGCATTGTTGGCAACAAAGTAAGATGTAATGCTCAAATGGATGATCTGGTTCTCTGTCAGAAGCCCTGTGGGCAGTGTTTACCATAGAATGATCAGCATTCTGTGTCACAAATTAATCACATAAATATGAAGCATACAGCAACCTTGGATTAACAGTTTCAATGATTGCCCTTCTTCCATATTTCATAGAATCTCTCTTCTCTCCTCTCCTCTCTCTCAAGTCCTGTACTTTTTTTTTTTTTTTTTTTGCATTTCTTCTTTCATTTTCACATACCTAGCCCTAACCCTTTTCGTGTCTCCCTCACGTGATATCTTCCAGCCACATTGTGCTTCCAACCCTGTAATTTCCAATCTCCTGGCTGGGAACGATGGAAGCCAGGTGGATGGCACAAAATTGCAGAAAGATAATCGGGTTTATAAATTTCTTTTCCAGCAGAGGGCAGTCTTGTGCTGTGCTTGTCCATCGCTTGTGCTAAGAGAGAGAGAGAGAGAGAGAAAAAAAAATAGGAAGTCTAGTTGCCTCTTTTCTGACTGCCGATTTCATGAGAGGAGGGGAGGGGAGGGAGCAGGAGAAGAGGGGAAAGGAAGGGAGGGAATAGGAAAGGAGAGGAGGGGAGGGAAGTGATGGGACAGGAGAAGAGGGGAGGAGAAGGAAGGGAAGAGAGGGAACAGGAGAGGGGAGGGGAGAGGAGGGGGCGAGGGGAGGGGAGGGAAGTAATAATAATAATAATAATAATAATAATAATAATAATAATAATAATAATAGTGATGATGATGATAAAGATGGAAGGCACCTTGGAGGTCATCTAGTCTAACCCCCTGCTCAGGCAGGAAACCCTATACCATTCCAGACAAACGGCTGTCCAAATCTCTTCTTAAAAAACCTCCAGTGTTGGAACACCCACAACTTCTGGAGGGAAGCTGTTCCACTGGTTGATTGTCCTTGCTATTAGGAAGTTCCTCCTTAATTCCAGGTTGTATCTCTCCTTCACAGGTTTCCATCCCTTATTTCTTGTCTTGCCCTCAGTTGCTTTCAAGAATGGGTTGATCCCCCCCTCCCCCTTCTTTGGGGCAGCCCCTCGCATTTTGGAACACGGCTATTGTGTCGCTCCTGGTCCTCCTCTTCACTGGGCTCTTCTCTTCATTAGACTAAAAGGCAGAAGCTTTTGCTTTATCAGAGACTGGCTAGACTGATGTCGGGAATGATTGGAGTGAAGATGCAGGCAAGGGAGGGGGGCAGATGTAGGTTATATGTGAGGCAGAGGACAAGGACCTTATCAGTGCACAATTGTCCTCTGTTAAAAGCCCATTATGCTTTTGAGACCTTCTGAAATTGCCGGCAACCTTTGGATGTTTGCGAGGTCAGCAACCTTAGACTGAATAATGGAGTTAAACGCTCCTAAAGTGCCACTTTGAGGTCTGCCATGGCGCGTCCTAGGAGGTTGAGATGTTGCAATGCTCCACTGTTTCTCTTCTGAATCCTGACCTGACCATTAAATCTTTCAGACAGTTGTCCCTTTTCTCCCAAGAGAAGAGGGGCCACCAACCTTGGCCACTTTAAGACTTGTGGACTTCAACTCCCAGAGTTCCCCAGCCAGCATAGCCAGCATGAAGTCCACAAGTCTTAAAGTGCCCAAGGTGGGAGACCCCCTGCTAGAGAGGATCCAGACGGTGTGTCAGTTCTCTAGCATCCCCGCTTTTAGGCTTTGTGTGATATGCCTGTCTATAAGCTAAACATGGTTTACTCAACTCATCCTTTAGCCTTTTCATAACGTATCGAACCCTAAAAAGACCACACAGGTTGGCTGTTCACAACTTATGAAGCTAACATGAAATTTCTGGCTCCATGGATGGGCAGAGACAAAATACAGATTAAATCAATATATGTGATTCCCCGTAGCATCAATTTCACGAGAATTAATTCCCGTAAGCCCTCTTCTTCTCAGAAGGCTTGTTCTGGTCCACCATACATTACTGAAACTTATTTCTTTATTTCCATTATGTTCCCTTGGGGAAAATGTAAGGGGACGGTTACCCTGAACAGAAAAAAAGCAGAGATCTCAGTGGTGGTTCCATTTGGAACAGAAGAACCAGATTCCTTCCTTTATTTATTTATTTGTAACATTTATTAGCCACCCATCTTACTATAAAGTAAACTCTGGGCAGCTTTCACAGTTTATGAATAACAGAATAGCAGAGTTGGAAGTCTTTCTAGTCCAATTCTCTGAAAGCAGAGCTTACAATATTAAAAGATAAAATTGTATGAAACCCTACTGATATAAATACATATTATAAAAATCCAGATAATCAACCTAGCTAAAAAATGGGGAGGGAGGGAGTAGGATGAGAAAGGGAAGGGGTGGGATCTGTTGTTAATCTATCAGTCATCCCCAATGTGAAGCAGGAAAAAACCAAAGGTACAAGTACAGATAAAGTGAAGCCTGGCTCAAAAACGGCAACTGTGAGAAGGAGCTTGGAGTCTTAGTGGAGGATCACTTAAACATGAGCCAGCCGTGTGCAGCAGCAGCCAAAAAAGCTAATACAGTCCTCGGTTGTATAAACAGAGGCATAGAATCAAAATCACATGATTGAGAACGAAGGGCTGGAAGTCGGCCATGATGGAAAGGTCCTTTTCTCAAAGGACCCAGGAAACTGCCGATATCGAGGGACAGGAAGTCCGCCATTGCCGAGAAGGCCTCTCGGAGATTACTGGGGAAGAACCAGCCGGCGGACATGCGCCGAAGGCCGAGGGAAGCGGCCCGTCCCTTTCGGAGGAGCATAGAGTGGCGACGCTCTGCGCTTTGGGGCTTAGCTTCTCGGTGTCCCGATCCTGGGCAAAAGGCCTCAACGTTAATGCTACGGGACAGGAAACACTGCCCTCCTGTGGTCAAAAACGGGTATTGCGGCCACCAAAAGAAATAAACCTTTTTAATGGCATTTTAAAATTACGGTATTCTCTGTCTTTATTAACGGTATTAACACCTTATTAATAGGGCCAGGGGAGGCCCGTTTGCTGCAACGCACAGGCGCGGAAGAAGAAATCTGCTTCAAAAGCCTTCAACCTAGTTAAGGAGGACTATGATGCCCTATTAATATTAATAAGGTTTTAATAATAAAGAATAGCCTTAAAATGCCATTGAAAAGTTTTGTAATGGCTGCTGTACCTGCTTCAACCACGGGATGGATGGCACTGTTTTTTGACCCTTAATAGCATCCAATAGCTTCAATAGATAAATAAAAAATGAGGGTTGAAGTAACCCTTTAGAGTGAGTCCTGACATCTCCCACTTTTTGAATTAAAGAAGAGGGGTGCTCTGAAGGGACAATTGTACAGAGCACCCACAGTTCAGGTCCTGAAGGTGTTTCTCTGTCCTGTCACTAAGGGGGCATAATAAAAACCTACTTCCTTTCGGAGAGACCTCCTCAGCATGGCCGACGTCCTGTCCGCTCAAATTCGTCGTCCTCCAGGGATTTTGAATTGCGACCTTCCCAACATGGCCGACTTCCGGTCCGTCCTTCTTAGTCATCCTTCAACTTCCTCTTGCGCGGACCTTCTGGGCACGGCCCACTCCACGTCGGATCAACGAGGTAAGCCTTTAAAACCCCATTAAATCTGTTCTTGAAAAGGTGAACTCCCATGTGGAAGAGGTAGCTGAAAAAGTGGACATAATGGAGGGGAAAATTGAAAGTATGGAAAAAGAAATGGAAAATGAGATTCTTATGCTTCAATATGGACAAATGGAATATGCCTTAAGAATTAGAGGCCTGGGAGAGTCTTTGCAAGGAGATCTGAAGGAGATGGTTGCAAAGGACTTTGCATTGATTTTGAATAAAGAAAAAGAGGGAATACTTAATGAAATTGAAAAATTATTTAGGGTTAACTCTGTGGTGGCAGCACAGAAGAATCTGCCAAGAGATGTGGTAATTTACTTTGGTAAAAGATCTTTACGCAATGAAATTGTGCAAGCCTATTATAAGAAGAGATTTCAAATTGCTTCACAAGATGTTATAATTTTTAAAGAGATCCCATCTAAAATTTTAAGAAGAAGAAAGGAGTTTGCTTTTTTAGCAAATGAACTTAAAAAGAGAAAAATTTCATTCAGATGGGATGTTCCGATTGGAATGGTGGTGAATTACCTGGGGACATGTTATAGACTTAATACTGTTTCTCAAGCAAAAGATTTTTATACTTCGGTCCTGGGGGTATGTGCATCGCCATCAATTAAGTTTAAAGCTTTGGAAGAAAAGAATGTAGAATCACAGTTTGAAGAGCCTATATTTATGAAAACTGGAGAATCTTTGTGTGAGAGGCCTCAACAAGTCCAGGTTGAGGAGCAGAAGACAACTTGTGCAGTATATAATCCCAAAGAAAAGCAGCAACAGAAGAAGGTTAAGGAAGTTTCATATTTAGTGGTTTCTGAATCTCTGGGAGATGTTAGACCTACAAAGTCTTTGGAGCAATCTTTAAGGGTGGAATTGTTGCCTGAAATGGAAACTGGGAAATCTCAGTCTGAGGGGCATCAACAAGAGAGGAACGGGCAGAGGATAACTTGTACAACTTACAATTGTAAAGATCAATACAAGGAGGAATTTAAGGAATCCTTATTGGCTTCGGAGTCGATGGGAGATTCAGGAATTTTGGAGCAGTCTCCTAAGGCAGAACTTGCAGCATTTCTTACGAGTTTGATACAAGAATGGAGAAGGGAAATGGAAGAATGGAAGAATGGAGAATGGAAAAAACTGGAATGTGAATAATTAATAATACTAATATAATTGAGATTGATAAGGATGTAGTTTTTTACGGATGGAATTAGTTATTGGTGAAGATTGAAATGTTTAATGTGTTTATTAACTTTGTTGTTTTAAGTTTTGAACCTTTAATGATAATATTGTTTAAATTTGTGTTTTGAAGGGATTATAATTTGCTTATTTTAGTGAGTGGATTCTAATATTTTAAATTTTAAAAATTTGTGGTTTTGGAGGGAGTTTATATAGAGTGATGATTGTATTTAGATTTGTTTAGGATTTAAAAGTGTTTTTAGTTTTTAAATATTATTATTAATATTTTTAAGACAAAATAATTTGTTTAATTAAATGTGCTTAGATTTGTTTAGGACTTATAGGTTTTTTAAGTTTTTGTTTTTTGTTTTTTTTTTTTTTTTTTCTTCTTTTTGGATAGGAGAGAAGATTATGAAGATTGAAGGAAATATGTACTTACTTTAAGTTCTTTAAGAGTATTTAGCTTTAATGGTATAACAAAGATTTGTATGTTTATTTTTTCGTTTTAGGATAAAGAAAGAGGGAGAAATTAGATTTTATATTATAGATATAGATATTCAAAGAAAGTAATGTTTAAATTTGTGTTTTTGGAGGGAGCTTATATAGAATGATGATTGTATTTAAATTTGTTTAGGTTTTAAAAGTGTTTTAAGTTTTCTTTTTTTTTTTTTAATTAAGCCTGTACTCAGCTCTGGGAAGTCCAGGGGAGGGTTTGGGAGGTTGGGAAGGGGGGGGGTGAGGTAGGGGGGGGTATGGGAAGGGGATTTGTTTTTGTAAAATGTAAAAATTTTCAATAAAAAAAAAAAAAAAAAAAAACCCCATTAAAAAGGCTTCTTTCTCTTGGCGGCCGCAATACCCGTCCCACAGCATTACCATCGAGGCCATCGTAGGCCTTTTCCACGGCCTCAATGCCGCTATCGCTAAGGGCGGGAAAACAGTGCTCTCCCGTGGCCATGCCGGGTATAGCAGCCACCAAAAGAAATAAACCGTTAAAATGGCAAAAGGGCCTCCCGTCGCCCTATTAATATTAATAAGGGGTTAATAATAAAGACGGGGGGGAAATAAATAGCCTTAAAATCCCATTTAAAAGGTTTTTTTTCGGCGACCGCAATACCCGTTTTTGACCACAGGAGGGCAGTTTTCCGTCCCGTAGCATGACCACCGACGACGACGTTCCCAGTACGTCCGACTTCCTGTCCATTCGCCGAGGCCGTCCCCAACTTCCTGTCCGTTCGCAGCACGGTTCCCTGCTTTTTCCCGTCCTCTTTTCTGCACTACGTTGACGGAGCGCACGCAGGAAGGAAAAAAGGAAGCCTGCTACTGCCTCAGGTGAGCCGAGTCACCCCCGCATTTCCAGATTCCAGAAAGATACCGGTTTTCTCTGTTACCTAGTTAGCGGGGGATCCCCACCTTCCCCCTCCCCCGCCTCCTCCCCGGCCACTCGTTTGGTCCTCTCCCCTAAGATGTCCTGCCCTGCTATTTCTTTAAGGAGATCGTACGTATGTAGGTTTGTATTTAGGTTTGATGTTTCTAAACTATATTTCTTAGAGATTCCTATGTATTAATATAGGTGCAATATCAAATATCTATTGGAAATAGTGTGCATTTTTATTAAGAAACGATCAATATAAAAATAAATGTAGTTTATTTTGAAAATGTATATAACCTATTGTTCCCTTATAGGTTTATCATTTAACGGATGGATAAAAGGGATGAGACGTGAGACGTTGCAACTAATGGCATTTATTAATTTGTTCGCCGTCCATCTAACTTTGTAGACCTTCGTCCAAAGCAAGTCAGGGTTAGGAAGGGTAGGAGATTCCTTCCTTTCCAGATGTCCTATTAATATTAATAAGGTTTTAATAATAAAGAATAGCCTTAAAATGCCATTGAAAAGTTTTGTAATGGCTGCTGTACCTGCTTCAACCACGGGATGGATGGCACTGTTTTTTGACCCTTAATAGCATCCAATAGCTTCAATAGGTAAATAAAAAATAATAATAATCTTAAAATCATGTTAAAAGGGTTTATTTCCTTTTGTGGCTGCTATTCCTTCTTTGACCATAGGACTCAATTCTTCCCAGAGGGCTTGACCGCTTTAGTCTCAATAACTTTCCCTCTCCCAGAAAACAGGCGATGGGAGCCTAAGCGGGCCTCCTGTGCACTTTCCTCGCTGTTTTTAAATATCCCTCGGCTACGACCAACCCAAGCAAAGCGGCTACCAACAGAATAAGAGACGTGGAGTTCCAGCTAGAGCTTAACAGAATCTCTCTCTGCAGCAAGAAAATGGATTAAATGGGGTGTGTGGGGACCAGCAAGGTATCTGAAAGACCTGAGCTTTCCTAAGAGTAGAATAGCATTTTTTAGAGCCAGACATTTTAATATCCTCTCCTTGGCACTCCTGCAGGGCAGGAATGATAAAACCCCAAGACTGAGTGAAGGTGTACTTGTGGCAGAAGGGGAAGCTGAAGATTTCTCTCACACGTGTGTCCTGTTAGTCCAAAGCCAAACATTAAAATCAAAAGCCATTCTTTGGATCTGAAAAATATTTCCTTTAATTGTGTGCATTGTACGGTGAGGAATTTGTGGGAATGAGGGGGGTGGGGGGGCGGGGCTTAGAGTCTTAATGTTTCTGCTCAGTTCTTGCCCTTTATGTCAAATGCCCAGAAATGTGAGAAGGGGCTCCAGAAAAGGCCGTCAGTCTGTGGGTTCTAGGACTGACACGCTCAGAGCCTAGATCCCAATAATGCTCAGTGTCGTGTTTCTTAAAATGCTCCCGTGCCACGTTTTCAGCAGCACACTGCTTGAACTTCACCTCACCAAAGCTCCGCTCCTTTGCCGTGCCCTAGAAGGACACAGAGAGAGGCAGGAGAGATTCTGAGCCAGCCTACGTATCGAGGGTTGCATTGCATGGATTGGAAGCTCGCATAATGCAGATAATTCCTCTTTCCTTGCCCGTGGCTTACTGGTGAAGCCCTGAGGGTTGAAGTAACCCTTTAGAGTGAGTCCTGACATCTCCCACTTTTTGAATTAAAGAGGAGGGGTGCTCTGAAGGGACCATTGTACAGAGCACCCACAGTTCAGTTCCTGAAGGTGTTTCTCTGTCCTGTCACTAAGGGGGCATAATAAAAACCAGGACTTTCTTAGTGATGCTGGGAATCACCAAATGCCTCAGTTAGACCATAAATATTACTCACCTCCCAAACCAGGGAACATTCAGGTTTTTTTCACAGATTTTCAAGCTGAAGATCTCTCTCACACGTGTGTCCTGTTAGTCCAAAGCCAAACATTCAAATCAAAAGCCGTTCTTTGGATCTGAAAAATATTTCCTTTAATTGTATGCATTGTACTGTGAGGAATTTGTGGGAATGAGGGGGGCGGGGCTTAGAGTCTTAATGTTTCTGCTCAGTTCTTGCCCTTTATGTCAAATGCCCAGAAATGTGAGAAGGGGCTCCAGAAAAGGCCGTCAGTCTGTGGGTTCTAGGACTGACTCGCTCAGAGCCTAGATCCCAATAATGCTCAGTGCCCTGTTTTTTTTTTTTATTGGAAATTTTTAAATGTTTTTACAAAAAACAGAAAACACAACAACAAAAAACAAAACAACCCTCACCCACCCACCCCCAAACCACCCCCTCCATCCCCCCCGACCTTCCCAGAGCTGAATATAGGCTTAATTAAAATTTTTAAGAATCTTAAAGAAATTGAAAAAATATAAATCATGAGTATATCTAAATAGCTTACATAAACAACTTATAAAATGATTAATAAAATATATATAAGAAAAAAGCATGAGTATAAAAAAAAGTACTTCAAAGAAAAAAAGATAATAATAAAAAAAAGAAAAGAGAAAGAAGAAGAGATAAAAAAGTACAATCTATAAAATATCAAAATTTATATACAAATTATTGAAAAGCTAAATGATATTTTTTATATCCAATTTATATTGTATGAAATTTATCCATTTTTCCCATACAGCAAAAAATTTCTCTTGCGATTGCTCCTTTAAGAAAGCCGAAATCTTTGCCATTTCCACCAGATAAGAAACTTTAAAAAACCACTCTTGCAAGGTAGGCAAAGATTCCTTCTTCCAGTATTGCCCTACTAACAGCCTTGCGGCTGTAATCAAATTTAACATCAATATAACCTCCTTAGCATCACAATCAATAACAATACCTAACAAAAACAATTGTGGAGTGACTTTTACCCTCTTTCTAAAAATTCTTTGAATATTCCACCATATCTTAATCCAAAGGCTTTTATATTTTTACACGACCACCAAATATGATAATAAGTGGCATCCAGACAACCACATCTCCAACATTTAGGCTGTAAGTCAGGATACATAAGAGACATTTTTTGTGGATCAAGGTGCCATCTATAAAACATTTTATAAAAATTCTCCCTTAAGTTCTGGGCTTGTGTAAATTTAACATTCCTCACCCAAATAGTTTCCCAGGTATCCAGTAGAACTGGTTCACCAAAATTTTGTGCCCATTTAATCATACAATCTTTGATTAATTCTGATTCTGAGTCCAGTTCCACTAAAACCCCATAAATTCTCTTAATATGAGTTCGCCTTTGATCCTTTACTTGTTTAACAAAATTTTCATCTTCTCTAAGCAAGCCCATGTTACGATCCATCTTCCATCTATCCACTATTTGTCTGTACTGAAACCATGAATAGGTAATATTTTCATGTACTAAATCTTCCAAAGATTTTAACTGCCAATTTTGACCATCCCATCTAAGTAATTGTGTATAAGAGACCCTATCCATCTTAACTCCTCTCCTTATCCCCTCTATAGCCCATAATGGTATTTTAAAATCACTTTTATAATATTTCCTCCAAACCCGAAGTAGAGAAATCCTTATAATATGAGATTTAAAAACCCGGTCCACTTTTTTATTAAAAATTAGATAGGCATGCCATCCAAAAAGTAAATCCCAACCCTCCAGATGGAGTATTTCTACATTTGTTAAATTAACCCAATCACTAATTAGTGTTAAAGCCACAGCATCATAATATAATTTCAAATTCGGTACCTTGAGTCCACCTCTCTCACGGAAGTCTTGCATAATTTTAAGCTTTACCCTTGGTTTTTTCCCTGCCCAAATAAATTTGTTAATGCCTTTCTGCCATTCATTTAAATTAACCTCATTCTTTAAAATAGGTAGCATTTGAAATAAAAAGAGAAATTTTGGCAGGACATTCATTTTAATCACTGCAATTCTTCCCATAAGAGATAACTGTAGCTTCTCCCAATTCTTCAAATCTTTCTGTACCCTGACCCACAGCCTTTCATAATTGTTTTTATACAATTTTACATTAGAAACAGATAAAGTGACCCCCAAATATTTTATCTTATCAACAACTTCAAAGTCTGTCAAATTAACCAAAATCTGCTTGTCCAGATTGGTCATGTTTTTAGATAATATTTTAGTCTTATTATTATTAATTTTAAAACCCGAAACCCGTCCATATTGGTAAATCAGTTGTAATAACTTTACTACAGAATAGGTAGGTTGGGACAAAGTAACCACCAAGTCATCTGCGAAAGCTCTTAATTTATATTCTTTTTTGTTAACTTCTATTCCTTTTATTTCCTGCGACTCTCGAATTTTAATCAACAGTGCCCTGTTTCTTAAAATGGTCCTGGCTCTGCTATTGGGAAGGCCCTTGGAGAGGTCCCTCCCATTATTTCCCACCAAAACTGCAATATTTAGAGGAGCGGTGGCGATCGCAACCTCCCACCCTGTTTCCTGCTGCCTCTTGGGGTTTTTATTGGGCTCCCAACCTTACTCCATTTCCATCCCTGTCTCTTTAAAAGGAAAAGCCTTAACCTCATTGAAAGTGGCAAGGGGGGGGGGAATCCTCAAGGACAACTTATCTGTTTCCCCCCAGTTCCTTCTTAACAGCCACAGCAAGGGGGGGGGGGTGTCACCCATCCGGTGGAGGCTCTAGGCTGGAAATCCAGGGAGCGTGACCTCCTTTCTCCACTGCCTTTTCCAAAAAGGCTGAAGCTTTCAGCTGGCAGGCCTTTAGAGGATTGGTGTCCCCACCCTTCCTCCTGGCCGCTACCTCAGTCGACGCAGGTGTGACTGGGGGAAGTTAGCAAAATTGCAAGCCGGACTCTGCAAAGACCCGGGTTTCCTGCTGCCCCCAGAGAGATCTGCTTTTCCTTTCTCTTACTTCTGGGTGGTGGGTGGGCTGTTTACAGCAACCTGGAAAGGAAGGAATCTCCTACCCTTCCTAACCCTGACTTGCTTTGGACGAAGGTCTACAAAGTTAGATGGACGGCGAACAAATTAATAAATGCCATTAGTTGCAACTTCTCACGTCTCATCCCTTTTATCCATCCGTTAAATGATAAACCTATAAGGGAACAATAGGTTATATACATTTTCAAAATAAACTACATTTATTTTTATATTGATCGTTTCTTAATAAAAATGCACACTATTTCCAATAGATATTTGATATTGCACCTATATTAATACATAGGAATCTCTAAGAAATATAGTTTAGAAACATCAAACCTAAATACAAACCTACATACGTACGATCTCCTTAAAGAAATAGCAGGGCAGGACATCTTAGGGGAGAGGACCAAACGAGTGGCCGGGGAGGAGGCGGGGGAGGGGGAAGGTGGGGATCCCCCGCTAACTAGGTAACAGAGAAAACCGGTATCTTTCTGGAATCTGGAAATGCGGGGGTGACTCGGCTCACCTGAGGCAGTAGCAGGCTTCCTTTTTTCCTTCCTGCGTGCGCTCCGTCAACGTAGTGCAGAAAAGAGGACGGGAAAAAGCAGGGAACCGTGCTGCGAACGGACAGGAAGTTGGGGACGGCCTCGGCGAATGGACAGGAAGTCGGACGTACTGGGAACGTCGTCGTCGGTGGTCATGCTACGGGACGGAAAACTGCCCTCCTGTGGTCAAAAACGGGTATTGCGGTCGCCGAAAAAAAACCTTTTAAATGGGATTTTAAGGCTATTTATTTCCCCCCCGTCTTTATTATTAACCCCTTATTAATATTAATAGGGCGACGGGAGGCCCTTTTGCCATTTTAACGGTTTATTTCTTTTGGTGGCTGCTATACCCGGCATGGCCACGGGAGAGCACTGTTTTCCCTCCCTTAGCGATAGCGGCATTGAGGCCGTGGAAAAGGCCTACGATGGCCTCGATGGTAATGCTGTGGGACGGGTATTGCGGCCGCCAAGAGAAAGAAGCCTTTTTAATGGGGTTTTAAAGGCTTACCTCGTTGATCCGACGTGGAGTCGGCCGTGCCCAGAAGGTCCGCGCAAGAGGAAGTTGAAGGATGACTAAGAAGGACGGACCGGAAGTCGGCCATGTTGGGAAGGTCGCAATTCAAAATCCCTGGAGGACGGCGAATTTGAGCGGACAGGACGTCGGCCATGCTGAGGAGGTCTCCGAAAGGAAGTAGGGGGAAAGATTAAGGTCGAAGGAACGGAAGTCGGCCATGATGGAAAGGTCCTTTTACCGCAGCACCTGGGGGACGGCCGATACCGACGGACAGGAAATCCGCCGTGCACAGAGGGCCTCGGAGATTACTCGTAAAGAACCAGCCGGCGGACATGCGCAGAAAGCCGACGGAAGCGGCCCGTCCTTTTCGGAGCAGCATAGAGTGGCGACGCTTTTGGCTGACGCTCTGCGCTTTGGGGCTTAGCTTCTCGGTTTCCTGATCCTAGGCAAAAGGCCTACGACGGCCTCAATGTTAATGTTATGGGACGGGAAACCGTGCCCTCCTGTGGTCAAATTGGGTATTGCTGTCGCCGAAAGAAATAATCCTTTTTAATGGCATTTGTTAACCAATTATTAACAGACAGCTGCCTAGGTTGGATCAAGTTAATGCTTGCATATTTTATCTTCCATTCTATATCTTTATTTATGATCAATGATCAATGCATAAGCAACGATACCCTGATAAAACAATGCTTGGTCATCTTTACATCATCCTACGCCAATATCTTGGCAGATGAGATATAATTTCATCCCTCAGACATAAAGAGTTTCCATCTCCTACAGATATTATATCCAATTGCATGATATTGTATATTTTATAATATTTTATGTTATTTTGTGGTTGTTTTGGGGTGTTTAGAAGAAGATCTATTTATTTCCCTTATGTCGGAGAAAAAAGAAAAAAATAGTACTAACAGAAATACAGATTTTAAAAGATATAGAAATCCTGATAGAAAAATAGATATAGAAAGGGGAGTTAAAACCAATATTTTATAACATTTATATCCTTCTCTAATATTTATATTAATATTCTCCTAGAAGGGACATGATAGAATTCTATCTAAGCAGATAGTCTCCAATTAAAACAAGGAATCAAACGTAAGAGTTATATTGTAAGCAAAATCAGTGAATTAATTTTTCTGTGGTTTCTGAAATTAGTGAGTCTATTGACATTAGAATCAAAGAAAGGTAAAAAGAAAAAGAAAAAATAGGACCACATAGAAAAAACATCACTGTTGTTCAAAGTTTTACAGTCACATTTTTCTACAACTCAGGGGAATTTTATCATGTTGCCATGTTTTAAGCAACATTTATCAACCTCAGCAAGTTTTAGATGTGCAGACTTCAACTGCCAGAATTCTCTGTCCACCCAGTGAGAAACTCTCTTCTCAGGATGAGTGAATCTGGATGCCGTCAGAGGCTCAACAAATCTCTATCACAGGTGCTTTAAGCTGGGGGTGTCTAACTATGGTCCCTGATGTCTGTGAGGCACAGATTTGAGGCGCTTGCAAAATTAGGGGTGCTGGTGTGGCAACAACGGCACAATCACTACCCAGAAATCATTATAACCAGCAGCCAATCTGGGATTTTCTAGAGTAGTTGCTATAAACCTACAAAGAGCACCTCTTGATAAAAATAAATGTGAAATCAAAATAAGAGTTGCTGCCTTAAATTAAAAGAACTATTTCAGATGTTATTTTTTTCTGAGATATAGAATAAAATATAAATACGAAAACTTCTTTCTTACCCACCCCAACCCCAATGAAATCATTTTGTTCAAGAGAGGTCACACAAATGTATTTATTTTGGCAGGGGTGATGGGTTATACACCAAGCCCTCTGGAAGTGCAGAGTTGTGGGTTCAATCCGGATGATGGAATCGATATAGCAGAAGACACAGCCGTGATGGCGCAGCGGTTAGAATGCAGTACTGCAGGCTACCTCTGCTAACTGCCAGCTGCCTGCAGTTCAGCAGTTCAATTCTCACCAGCTCAAGGTTGACTCAGCCTTCATCCTTCCGAGGTTGGTAAAATGAGGACCTAGATTGTTGGGGGACCATAGGCTGATTCTGTAAACCTCTTAAAGTCCAAGTGCTATTGCTATTGCTTTTCTTTCTCCGATGGTCTGTGCTGCAATCCTACAGTGATTTGAATTCTGCCCTTCACCCACCCACCCAGAGGATCCAGCTGTGTCCCTGGTAGCGAAATACAACTAAGAATTTCTCCCCATTTAAGGGAAAGGTCCAACGGGAGAGATGGAGAACATGGCTGCTTTTGCCTGGGAAAAGCAAGGGTGGGGGTACTCTTTCCTGCATTTGTCATTGGGTGTCTCTAATCTTTCCTAAGTTCTTTAGAAGAAAATATACATCTTTGGAAGAAGAAATAATTAAATGGTGGAAGCATCCATCATTTGGATTCTGGGAGCTCAAAGACTAAGAATGTATTGCATGTGAAATGATCTTAAATTTATTGCTGCAATTTATCTTGACTCCAAGTAAATCAGTCCATCTATAAATGAAAGTGAAAGTAAGAAATGTAGTTTACAAAGTTTTCTGTAAATTTCTAAGAACTCCTAGCAAATTAGAGTGCGCCTCTGGTGGTATGTAGGAAATTTCATTTCAGATAGAGCACACAGCACTCCCTGTGGCTTATCCAGGTATTAAAGCCTCATTGCAATAAACACATAACAACCGGCAAAGTCCTCCTTTAATGATGGCAATTGGGACCAGAGTTACTCTAAGTGAGGCAGCTGTAAAGCAAAATATCACAATCGCTTAATGTTACCAGCAATACCTGCCTTTTGCTGAGAAGACAAAATGATGTCTCTCAATCAGGGGCTCCACAGGTTGTGCCTGGGCAGGGCCGTGGAGGTGGCCGAGGTTTCATTTCAAAGAGAATCAGATCCCACATCTATCTCATTTAGATTTTCCTTGAGAATCAGAGTGGGATGGATACAATTTAGTAGGCTCAGTCACCTAGTTATAGGACAAACGTGGCCTGCCTTTTAACTCAAGAATCAGTCACCTAACTAATGATTGAGAAGATTTATTTATTATTTTTGTCAGTGTTTATAACTCATCCCAAACCCAGAAGACTTCAAAATTCAGATTCTTCTTTGAAAGGCATTCCAATCTCAGCTGATTCTGCCAATTCTCTGACTCTGGGAAGAGAGCCTTATGGCACCAACCCCTCCAGAGTCCCAGAAGAGTAGGCCCAGCAACCTTTTGTTGAGTTCAACAAGGGTTTTAGCTCTTGGACATTGTGTCCGTAAAGTGGATAAAGACCCGAACTCCTGAAATGTACTCTATATGAGGCTGTCTTTGAAGACCACCCAAAGGCTTTAGCAGGATCAGAGTGCAACACTCAGTTGTCGGCTATCACACACTAACATGAATCTGTGACACCAGTACTCTGGGGAATCATAAAGTTTCAGCATATCTAGAAATATTTCCTAGTGAGAGACTGCTCTGACTTTTGTTGCACAGCAATTAAGGCTATTTTTGCAGAATCCTCGACTGTTAATCTCTTAAATTTCCCATAGCTGAATGCCTGAGAAAGACCAGGTTTCAGTACATGATGCCATTTGTGTTTTATTTTTACCCCAAAAGTATCTCTTATGCCAGCTTTGCTCTACACTGAGGTCTCCCTGAGCGCCGATATGGAACTCTGGCTAGGTCAGTGGCATTTCCCTGGCTAAGAGCTTGGACCTGCTCCTTCTCATCTCCTGTTCCTGGCAAGGGCAAGAGAAGCACAGAGCCACGGGGCCTTTTCTAATCCGGATGGGCGTAAAGTCATCTTGAAGAACTGAGGGAAAGGCAAATACAGGAGCTGCCAATTCAGTCACAGAAGAAGCAGGGAAGAAAGACCAAATGACTCTGGCCTAGGTCTACTCACCTGTTGCCTGAGCTGGTGCATAAATTGCCCTGAAAGAAAGTCCATCTCGGTAGTCTCCATTTTTATATGCTCCACGGTTGATTCATGGGGCATCTGATAGGGAACAGATCGAAATGAAATACAGAGTGAAAAGCTACCTTCAGGGATTCACATTTAGATGCCAATGGAAGCAGCCAAAGCCCCTTCTACGAGAAGCAGCAGGGAGCTGCTGGAAAAAAGGTCGTCGTCTAGGTCAGTTCACAGAACTCCTACACCCCATTTCCTCTCCCCGCCTCTTGATTTTGCCCACATACCAGAGCCGCTGGTGCCCGGAAAAGGTAGCTGAAAGGATAATAGAGGAAGTTCACGAAGGAAGCAGCATAGAGGTCTGCATAGCGAATCAGCTGATTGGCAAAGAGGGTCTGATGGGAGCCACAGTGGAAGAGACTTCCCATCTTCCCATAACACATGTCCATCTCATGGGTGACTTTCTGCAAGAGAAAAGTTGCCTCTCTAGCAGCCATCAGCCTGATTTTTACAAAGCTGGATTTTTTTGAGACAATTATAACCAGATTGGATTTATCTGAACAGTATAGGGTTCCTGCTTGTGCAGGGGGTTGGACTAGAAGACCTCCGAGGTCTCTTCCAATTCTGTTATTCTATGACTTCTACAACATTGGTGGATCACCAGAACAACATAAGCAAACACTCCACTGTCAGGCCTTTCCTGTCCTCTAATTGTAGATTTCCAAGCCAAGAAAGCAGAGGTGACATTCTCTCCAGACTCCCAGCCCTTCTGAATAATGGATACCACAGGTAGCTGCCATCAGCGTGGGGGCGTTTCCAGGGTGCTGCCCAGGCCTCTCTCTTTCCTGGGAGTGGCTGCTTCCCTCCCGCCCAATTCCCCACCAGCTGCTCTCCCTGCAGCCAGTTCCCTCTTGAGGCTGCCCTGTACTTTGTTCCACTTTTCTTTGGGAATTTTCTGTAGTTCTTTCTCCGGAAGGCAGAGGTACCACCAGCGCTCCATGAAGAGCAGGGGAGTGAACTAAGCCTGGCTACAAGACCTGCCACGTGGGACTAAGAACCCAAAGAACACGAGGACAAGACCTGGATCCGCTTCTTGATGGAGCTGATGTCTGGGCATTCACTGCTTCCACTGTCCAAGTGCCTGGAAAAGAAAGACAAGGAAGTCTGAGCCCAGAAGCCTTTCCTTGCTCACACTGAGTTGCAGGAACTGGGTCTGTCTAGTCTAGTGAAAAGAAGGAACAGGGGTGACATGATAGCAGCGTTCCAATATTTGAGGGGCTCCTATCAAGACAAGAGAGCCAAACTATTTTCCAAAGCACCAGAAGGTAGAACAAGAAACAATGGATGGCAACTAATCAAGGAGGGAAGCAATCTACAACTAAGGAAAATTTTCCTAACAATGTGAACAATTAACCAGTGGAACAGCTTGCCATCAGAAGTTGTGGGTGCTTCCTTACTGGAGGTTTTTTTAAGAAGAGACTGGACAGCCATTTGACCAGATTGATAGAGCGTCTCCTGCTTGTGCAGGGGGTTAGATTAGAAGGCCTCCAAGGTCCCTTCCCACTCTGTTATTCTGTTCTGTTCTGTTCTCTAGATCCACCCACATATTAAGCAGAGTGACTGTTTTGCCAGGCAGCAGGTGATTTTGAGTGGAGCGAAAACACAGCCAGGACAATCCACCAATCACTTCCCTTAAATGATTCTGTATTGAAACTGTAAGGACAGCACCAGCTGCTGGCCTCACTTCTGAAGAGGTTGGGGCCAAGCTGGGTAGGGCAGCCGAGTTTATGACTGGCCATATCAATGTGGCTGTGAAAAACATCCCTTACAATCCAGGCAAAATGCTAATGGATGAAAAAGGTCTTACTCACTGGTACAGTTCAGCCAAAAGCACATCCAGACTCCGCAGCTCCTCAAAGAGTTCTGTAAAGAGAAAATGGCTTTCTAAGGACAGCATCTGGTTTAGCTGATTGTCCAAAAAGGATGGAAAAACCAGCAGAGCAGGTCCCAGGGACTGAGGGCAACGTGGCTCTTTGAGGTGGGCAACTGAAAGGCCTCTGAAAATGCCAGGGAGAGATCAGGCCATGGGTTGGAAGGTGACTGAACCACAGGTGGTGCTCCTTCTAGGTTCCAGCAAGAAGCCCTCACCTGGGGCCATCGCTATCCCCACAGGCAGATGAAACCTCACCACTCTTCTCAGTCCACACTTGCAGCTCCTTAGCCACTTCTGGGACCACCAGGAATGTGCGCCATCCTTGCCTCTTCTTAGATTTGAGAATATCCCCAAAGATATGATCACCAATGTAAAGAATCTCCTTGCCCTTCACGCCCAAGAGGTCACATATCATGTCTGAGGAACCTAGAAAGATAGAAACATGTTTCATTCTCACATATGTTAATTATGGGGGAATTTAACTATTAGCCACACTTTTTGAAAGTGGACATGAGAAGGGCGTGAGCACACCCCAGTTTTCCCTATGGGAATTAAATGAGAGGAAAAGATATCCTCTTTGTATCACCAAAATGGCTCTCCTCAAGAGTCCATGGAACAGCCTCATCTGCACATTTTAGTAATTGGGGGAGGTTCATGATGACTATGAGATGAGCCAATAAGTGTCAGGGTTGCCCATCAGGAGCTGAAGATCTAGATCAACATCATTTAGTGGCCACAGACAGCTCCAGGACCAGGTTTGCAGCCACTGGGGAGGGGGAAGGCATGTTTAATGATTGAGTTCTGCACATGATGCAAATTTGGGGAAGATTTCTCCAGCTGTGGGACGGGGGGCTGAATTCTTTGGCCTGTGATAGGGTTTGTTCAACTGTTCTTAGGTTCCTACCTCAAAGTAGTTAACACCTTGAATTCTTAGTCATTGTGGTTAGAAATAAGGAGCAAAATGTTTATGATGCCTTTCTGAAGTTTGATATCCATATTTTACTCCCTAAGCCTCCCAAGATTGGGGGGAGGGATGTGATTGATAATTTTATATTGCATGCAAAAAGGTTGGATTGCTCTGTTTACAGGCAGTACAAGCCTTTTCAGGTCCCCAACCCAGACTTTGTGCAGAAAATAACAATTCCATACTGTATTGTGTGGATTAATTTTCAATTTTCACCTTCAAGCAATGTACTAATGTGGGCCATTAGAGCTACTATTAGCATATTGGGGGCAATTCACTCCAGCACTAGGTATGCATCCACCACTACCTTCTATCTCCAGGTAGATATTTAGGAGCAGAAGGGACAGGGTCAAGTCTTATGAGGCAGCCGAAGCCTTGAGGACAATTTCCCCGCAGCACAACACATCCCAAAGTATCAGAATTACTGGCGTACCCTTTCCAGCAGTCAGCATGATTAGAAGAGCGAATGGTAGATGTGCTAAAAGTCTTTGAGATGTTGTCAGAGCACCAGTGCAACTGCCCTTCCTCCACACCCACAATTTCTTAAGTCCCACAGCTTATTTGTGTGCCCTGCTTACCCCGGGAGAGGACACTCCTGACCCTAATCATTTGTTGACAATAGGAACACATGGCCTTGTCCAACACCCTCCAGACCATCCTTGGCCCTTGCTCGTTTAACTTCAAAGGAAGGGCTTTTCCTCTTCTGCCAGTGCAGACCTATGTAGAGCAATCATTCCAAGGGGCCTCTTCTATTGGCCACCCGGTCACCTTTTGGCAATGGTTGTGTCCGAAAGCCATTGCTGCCACATCTGCCCACCCAACAGCAGAAGGAATGGAAGCTGGTCTTCTGGTTGCCAGTTCTCACAGGTGATAAACGGCAAGAACAGCTACTTTACTGCCAGTCCTCCAAGCCCATGGAGACTGAAGAATTGTGTTTTTTACCCCACTTCGCCCAGGGGAGGCAGAAGAGGTATTTATCCACCCTGCAATGAGAAGCACTTTCCAAGGTACGCAAGGGGAACAGCTATCGGAAAGGCGGCAGGCCCAAAGGGAAAGTCAGGCAACTTTACCTCCAGAGTAGACAGCACAGTGCTGATGTGGTCCTCTGTAGGTCCCAATTCGCAGCTTCCCCGTGTCCTGCACACAAAGATGGGGTTTTCTTAGAGTAACCAAACGTGCACAGCACTGTGCACAGACAATCCCTCTAACCCACAGGTTTATGAACAGGTTGGGAAGCTCAATCCCCAGCAGGAACCTACTTCCCTTCAGCTCCTTCTAGTTCATCTGTTCCCATTTTCCCCTCAGCAACCTGACATTTGTAGTCTGTTTCTTTATATGTTTTTTCCACTGTAAGCAACTCTCACAGTGGGGAAACAAGCAAAAGAAGAGCAAATGACTGTCCGTGCAAGTATCTGCTTTACTCCAAGACAACCTACGTCCTGCCTTCTTGAAGAAGCAAAGTCAAGTTGGGCTCTGAAGGCGAATCTATTTATATATATAGCCACTGACTAGACTAACAAATTATTACATCCCACACTGGAAAAGACCCAGGAAACTATAGACCAATCAGTCTGACATCAATACCTGGGAAGATCCTACAAAAGATAATCAAAAAACAGCTCTGCGAACAATTAGAAGCAAAGTTATAACTAGTAGCCAGCACGGATTTGTTACAAAGAGATCATGCCAAACCAATCTTATTTGATTCTTCGATAAAGTGACTAAACTAATAGACCAGCGAAATACTGTGGACGTCGTATACCTAGACTTCAGTAAGGCATTTGATAAAGTAGACCACAACCAACTCCTAGGCAAGCTAGAAAAAGGTGGAGTAGACAACATCATCACCAGATGGATTTGTAGCTGGCTGGCAAACCGTACTCAACGAGTAGTCCTCAATCGCACTACATCCACATGGAGAGAAGTAAGCAGCGGGATACCATAAGGCTCGGTCTTAGGCCCAGTAATCTTCAATATCTTCATAAATGACTTAGATGAGGGAATTGAAGGGGAACTCATCAAATTAACAGATGACACAAAACTGGCAGGAGTATCCAACACCCCAGAAGACAAACTCAGGATCCAAAAACATCTTGACAAATTTGAAAAATGGGCCCTGTCCAACAAAATAAGTTTCAATGTGGAGAAAAGCAAAGTGTTACATTTAGGCAGCAAGAATCAAAGGCACAAGTACAGACTGGGCGAGATCTGGCTCAAAAACAACAGCTGTGACAGGGACCTTGTAGTCCTAGTGGATGGTCATTGCCCATGAGCCAGCCATGTGCAGCAGCAGCCAAAAAAGCTATTACAATCCTGGGTTGTATAAACAGAGGCATAGAATCAAGATCGCGTGAATTATTATTACCGCTTTATAAAACCCTAGTAAGACACACCTGGAATACTGCAGCCAATTTTGGTCACCATACCAACCTAGAATTAAGGAGAAACTTCCTGACAGTGAGGACAATCAACCAGTGGAATAGCTTGCCCACAGAAATCGTGGGCACTCCATCACTGGAGATTTTTAAGAAGAGGCTAGACAGTCACTTGTCTGAGATAGTATAGGTTCTCCTGCTTGAGCAGGGGGCTGGACCAGAAGACCTCCAAGGTCCCTTCCAGCTCTATTCTATTCTTCTATTCTTCTTCTTCTAAAGAACAATGGGATGTGCAGCCCATACCTGAAGCTGGAACGTTACTGCAACCCCTTCCATTACAGAACACAGTAGGTGATATGAGGCATGAGATGATAAATAAACTGGCTACAATCAACCCCTGAAATAAATTATCAAGGCTCAGTACAGAAGTATCATCAGAGAGTATGCTAGAAAATGCCAATAGAGCCCTCACAACAATCCCCACTACCAGCATTACACAAAATAATGAATGGTACATCCTGGAGCTGTTGTAATCCCAGGAATGCTTGGCTACACAATGGAGCAGAATAGCAGTACATACCTCCCCGCCCTCCAATCTCTGAAAATGAGATTAGAGTCTAAAATCAAGACAACTTGGAGAGTCAATTGGTGGAAGTATAGAAAGGTGTGAAGATTTAAGGATAAGAAAAAATACAAGGGTCCGAGTCTGAAGCCCTGGAGACTGCTAAACAAAGGCTCACAGATCAGTGCCCACTTGCCTTCAGAAGTTGTGGTTGCTCCATCAACAGAGGCTTTTAAGAAGAGAACGGACAGCCATTTGTCTGAAATAGTATAGAGTCTCTTGCTTGAGCAGAGGGTTGGACTAGAAGACCTCCAAGGTCCCTTCCAACTCTGTTATTCTGTTATTCTCTGCATGTTTGGATTCCACTTAATCTTCAGCTGCTTGGACTTCTGAATTTTTGGAAGCTGGGAGCAACTCACTTCCAATAACCAGATCTGCAACAGTTACTGCTTCATCAACAAAAGGCTCCATCAATAAAAGGCTTAATAATGGTTTGGGTGAGAACTGGTTCTTAAAAGCCACTTCCTGTGAAGCAGGCAGGTTCTCCGCAATGGAAGCACAAGTTTTGGGTCTGTCAAAGCAACTTTTCATAGCCAAAGAGAGCAGCTTTACTAGCTCCCAGCTTCGTGGACTCAGTTTCCAAAGACTCGGCTGTATAGAGGGGCAAAGGTCAAAACAGAATGCTGGGGTTTTCTTTGCCAGCCCTACTGAGCATTTCTTGCATCTTCCATAAATCCCCAGTCAGACTTGGATGAATGCAAGGAGGTGGATGTCAAAGGCTGCAGCACTTCTTTCTCCAGCAATTGCTGACTGATTTTAAACTAATCCATATCTATTTGTTTATACTCATTTATAGGCATCCTAACTCAGTGTCTGCAATGAAGGAAAGTTTGCTCACCTGTTGTGTCTACCATTCTAATTCTTCAAAAAGTCACCTGTACATTCAAAAAATTACATTTTGTCCCCATAAGGATGCTTTTAGTGTGTTAGTTTGCTTTCTTGGCTTCAGCTTGCATACTACTGTACAGTACACTGTATTGGTAGGAACAGTCAGCATGGATGGGCAGGCTCTCAATGAACTGCCTGAGTGCCATCATGCTCTGTATGAGGCTCTCTGAAATGTGAATGTAAAAATATAATGGACTCATCTGGATCCTCTGAACTATCAGCCTGAGGAGCTACCAACGTCAACCAGGAACCTGTGGCAGCTTCAAGAGACAAACTAGCACCAATGTTGTTACCTCGTTATGGGTAATGAAACGTCTGCAAGAAAACAACTAAGTTCCAAGAGCACCAAGGACCCCAAATAGACTAATTAGCCTGAGCAAGCAATATTCAAGTAATGAGGACTAGATTTTGGCAGAGGGAACACCCCAAGCAAATACCAGTCTAGGAGGGCTGAGCAAATTAACAGAATATCCAAAACAAAGGTGTGCTTTCCCCCATAATCCATGGACAAAAAAGATAGCGTAGGAACACGCTTTTCAAGGAGAAAGAGGGAATGGACTGATGCTCTGCATCCAACAGCTGAAATTGCTTCTTGCTATGTTGCAACAGGATGCACCCCCTCAAACATGTATTAGTCTGACCAGTATCTGTGGAGAGTCGTGTGGGGCTCACTCTGAAGCGCCCAAAGCCTTTTGGGTCAGATCCAACATGGAAGGAGTACAATCAGCCAGATAAGCAAAAAACAAGGCTAGAAAAGAACTCCGTGCACTATGCAGATAGATGCCATAAGGTCCTATAATCAGGAACACCTATATATAATCTGGGTATAAGCAGAAGCAGAACAAATCTTGCTAGCTGATGGTGAGATTTTGTTGCCCATTGATCGGTTTCACTATTGTACACATTCCCCTCTTACGGATCTCCGATCTTGGCCCATTTGGACAGGATGACAATGAACCCTTCCCTGTTTTCATGAAGTTCCTCCTGGATCCTGCCCCACTCTTCTCTGCCATCCTCCCTGCTTTTGGCCCTGACCGATACGCACTGTGTTGACTTGCCGCAGAACAGTTCCCTCAGCAAAAAAGAGGGGCTTGCAAGTGTCGACAACAATCATATCAAAGTAAGAGCGCCATGGTCGATGCTGGGATTTATCCTGCTGTTGGAAAAGGAACAAATTAGGCTACTTGGCATACTGGAAAGTCCTGCAGATTTCCTATTAGTCACAAGCTCACAATGACTGCATACATGTCTTTCTCTCCCTCCTCAGTTACAGGCCTGTTATAGGGACTTTAATAAGTGCTACCTTAACGCTGCAAGCTCTTTGACAATTTACATCACTTTAGTACATGGGACTTAATAGCAGCTGTTTCCCATGGAGACAAATACAGGAGACATGAAAGGAAGGGCAGCCCCAACACTTCTTACTGTCTGGCAGGAAGGCCTGTCCCCCAGCCCAACTACCTTGCTGCAATCCACATGAATTGACCCACCCAGATGCTGCTAATGGCCACCTGGGCCTGAAACATCTCACCAGCTCACAGATTGACTTACCGTATTTTCTTCACTGAAGTCAAGTAAGTATGTCATGATTGCCTGGAAAGAGATAAGCCCAGTGCTACTCTCTTCTGCAGTGAAAAATCAGCCCAGGTTCAACGGCCTCGTTAGACAAGGATGCAAAGCCATCAGGGTCTCTTCCATGCATCTCCCTGCCACTGACCTCCTCCCTTCAAACTATCTGGCTCCATGAGCAGTTGCAAGGTCACCCTGCCAAATGGTCAGTTTGGCACTACCACCGTCTCTTGAACTAAGCATGGAGGACAGCAGGTCCCACCTCACCTTCTCTTTGAAGGCCCGACTTACATCTGTATAGTTGTAGTCGCTGTTGGTGGCAAGAAACATTTTCCCTGCATCTTTCATGCGACTCAGCAGAAGAGGAATACGGGGCTGAAGGAAAGAAGAAGGAAACAAGCTGCAGATCAGAGCCTGGCTACTCCCTGCAGCAGCGTTCCGAGTGTCTTCAAGAGAAGGCCTATCAAGATAGGATTTCAGGGGCTGAAAGGGGGCCTCCTCTGCAATAACTCTCTCTCCAAGCCAAGATATAAGCTCACTTACATCTTTTACCACATACTTCTCCAGGTCCTTCAGCATTTTCTCCTTGAGGGAGCCCTAGGAGAGCAACAGATGGGGAGGCCACGTGAGCTGAGTGTCACCACCCAGGCCAAGCAATGGGGGGTCTCTGGCAGGGCAGTTTGGCCAGGGCAGCTCCTGATGCCGCCCGTGGCAGTCTGAAAGTGGTCCAGTAGACCAAGGCAGGCCCAAAATTCTAACTCTCCCCTCACATCCAAGATTCTTATTACCAATAGTTAAGATGACCTTATCAATGTATTTTGAAGTTATTTTTAAGCTGCCTTGGAACTGCAAATGTAAGATGTGACTAGGTGGTGAGTTTGGGTTTGATTTTTAGTGGCTTTGAGTCTCTCTTGACTCTTGGAACTCTGCACTTTTTTCAGCATCGTTCTTTAAAGTGATTTGCATGGCCTTTTTCTTCCTAGTGAGAGGGGCTGGCTCAAAATCACCCAGCTCACATCATGCCCGTGCCCACTCCCCACATCTCGACCACTAGACCAAGCAGGCTCTCAAGTTTGACTCACCGTAATAAATAATCCAAGGAAATATCTTGGTCTATCCAAAGCGCATTGCCGCATCCATGCCCCTGCCTAGCCCCCTCCTCCCCCTCCCCCCTCTTCTGCTTACTGAAAGGTGAACATGATCCATGGCCTCTCGGACATCCTGGAACAAGCTGCGGAAGGACATGAAGAGGTTGCCCTGCCTGTAGCCGGTCTCACAACTGAGAGTGAAAGAGGAACAAGTCCAAGGTGAGATCCGCCATGATTCCACACAGCAGGGAGAGCCCAGGAACACAAACAAACTTGCAAACTGGAACAGAGTTCCCGGCCTCTGCCCCTTGGCACACTGGGGTGGGCATCCCAGAAGGCTCTAAAGCCCCAGGCAGCACCCTCCACCCAGATGAGGCCAGGCCGGACCACCCGAGGGCTTCAGCCACAACGCTTACTTCGTGTATCTGGAGCAGCTGGTGAAGAAGTCCACGAGGCAGGCCAAGAGGTAGGTTTCTGTGGGGAGGGAGAAAAGGGTGAGCGGAAGCCCCCTCTAGGCCAAGGAGGAGACCCATTTCAGGCTGGCGCTGCTTGGAAAATCCATCTGGCTCTGACAGCTCAGCTTAAACCAGAGGAGGTCAACTTTAGCCTGCAAGGTGCCATGCTTGGGAAATGGTGTGCGCCACACCATGAATACAGATTGCACTTGCCAAACATCTTCACTTGCTCATCAAAGGAATCCATTTCCTCATGGACCTCAAGGTCTGGATTTGTGCCACATGCTAAATCACAAAAAAACCTAACCAATGTTAGGAGAGAAGCAACCTAGAACTAAGGAGAAACTTCCTGACAGTGAGAGCAATTAACCAGTGGAACAACCTGCCTCCAGAAGCGGTGAATGCTCCAACACTGGAAGTTTTTAAGAAGAGACTGGACAGCCAGTCGTCCGAAATGGTATAGGGTTTCCTGCCTGAGCAGGGGGTTGGACTAGATGACCTCCAAGGTCCCTTCCAACTATTATTATTATTATTAAAACAAGGTTCGCATATTGTGCAAATGCAGCTGCTGGATCTTAAACTGGCTCGGCTAAGTAAGTTATATAAACTTAGCCAAAGTTAAGTCACAGGAAAATGGTTTAAAATACAGTGGTACGGTGGTACTCAACTGCTTTGAAACTCATCAAATTTGGGACTCAACGCATTGGTACAAAATTTTTGTCCCAATGCTCATTGTTTGTTTGGTTCTCAATGCACAGGCTAGAACTCGTCAGTGTCGGTTGCCTTGTGACTACATTATTCCTTATGAGAAAAAATTGTTTAGCACGTCCCAGAACCAACTAACGATGAGTACCTAGGTACCACTGTACATACAAAATGCTTTAGAAAGAAAATGTGGGCCCTCTCTACACCAGGGGTCCCCAACCCCCAGGTTGTGGCCCAGTCCTGTGCTGCGGATGGTTTGGAACAGGGCTGGGCAAGCAGCAGGCGAGTGCACACACGCAGCTCCATTTGTGTGAGTGTCGGGCATTTTTGATTGTGTTGAAGCTCCACACAAATGGAGCTGCAAGGGTACACACCTGCCACTCACACAGAACCATTTTCTTGCCCCCTCCTCCCCACCTGTCCTCAAAACCAGAAAGGTTGGGGACCACTGCTCTAATAAATTTTTCAGCAGTTATCCCTCACTTCCTTGTCAATGCTATGCAGAAAACCTTGTCCCCGATTTCCAGAACATCACTGGAGGAAGCCCCAAGATAGAGCAGCAATTCAGGGTTCAAGGGGTATGTTGGAGCAAGGAGTACAGTCTGCACTCGCTTCCAAGCTCTATTCCTTTATTCTCCCTTTCAACATTCCAGTTCTGGTCCAAAACAGTTGCCACTCTGAGGAAAGTTTGTGAAATTTTGCAATTTGCTTTACGTTTAGAACAAAGCAACTTGAAGCAATCTTGGAAAGCTTAGAGAGCTGAATTTAGGGAGAAAAAGCTACATTTTATGCTTACCGGCTGTAGGAAACAGTGGGAACTTGGTGCTTTGTTTGCACTCCACTTCCACAGAAATTAACAGGTGGCTGTGCCCGATATTCCTCCCAACCCAGATTAAGCCCTCCTTTGGGACAGGCAGTGCCCTGACCCAAAGTCGACCCCTCTTCCCAACTCTCCCTTTGTAAATACCTGTCAAATTAAACAAAGTATTCAGAATATGAAAACGTTTCGTGTCGTCTCTCTGAATGAATTTGTTTGGGTAATAATTCCAGATTTCATTCCTAAAAACAGAAAAAGTCATCAGTGAGATAGGGATGTAGTTGTACTGAAGGCAAACATTACTAAGACTTTTGTCCCAAGCCGCCAGTTTTGCTGAAAGTGTGAAAGGAACTCCTAACCATCCAGGAAACCTCTTCTCAGTTCCCCATGCAACCTGCTCTCTTCTAGGGGTGACTGTCCCAAATCCAGGCTGCATCTTTGGTACATCTGGCTCATTAGTAGGGACCCAAGGCCTTTGCTCTTGAGCTCCAGGCTGGGTTTCTGCCAGTTGGAAATGGAAAGAGGCAAAGCTTCAGCAAGGAGAGACTCAAAATCTTCTGGAATTTCAACGGAGGCCTTGGAATAGGTAGAAGGGAACCGTGCTCCTCTCCCTTTCCAATCCCGGCTCCATCACCTGCTTCCCTTGGACTGCAGCCCTACAAAGACGAGCACAAGAGCGGCCAGGGAAGAGGGGCTGCTCTGCAGTCCAATGAGAGAAGAAAGGAAGCCAAAGGTGGGGCTATACTATTTCAGACAAGTGACTGCCCAGTCTCTTCTTAAAAACCTCCAATAATGGAGCGCCTATAATTTCTGGAAGCAAGCTGTTCCACTGGTTAATTGTCCTCACTGTTAGGAACTTTCTCCTTAATTCCAGGATGCTTCTCTCTTTGCTCAGTTTCCAACCATTGTTTCTTGTCCTGCCCTCTGGTGCTTTGGAGAATAATCTGACCCCCTCTTCTTTGTGGCAGCCTCTCAAATACTGGAATTCTGCTATCATGTCATTTTGCAACTTGTCTCATACCCTAACCAGAAGTGGGGATGAGGTTCTTCTTCTATTCTTTCATTTTCACTGTTGCATATTCTCCTTGCTTGACCTGTGACAGTGAAGCTGTCCTGGTTAACCAGGATATGAATACTTAGCTCCTAAATCCATATGAGGTAAAGGACTCTTGTGAGGAGGATAAAGGCCCTTGTTCTGAACCACGAAGCATCTTTCAGCATCTGCAGGAGGCCAACAGCTCACAGAAGCTCCGCCAGAAAGCCATTGGGCCCCTCTGGAAGAGATCAGAGAGAGGAAGGCAGGGCTCTCCTTCAAGGATTTCCTTCAGGAAAAGGGGGCAATGCAAATGGAGCAACAAAGATGGTCAGGGGACTGAAGACTAAAGCATATAAAGAACGGTTGCTGGAATTGGGTATGTTTAATGAAAAAAAGGATTATGGGTGACATGATAGCAGTGCTCCAATATCTCAAGGGTTGCCACAAACAAGAGGGTGTCAACCTGTTCTCCAAAGCACCTGAAGGCGGGACAAAAAGCAATGGATGGAAACTAATCAAGCAACCTAGAACTAAGAAGAAATTTCCTGACAGCTAGAACAATTAACTAGTGGAACAACTTGCCTCTAGAAGTTTAAGAAGAGACTGGACAGCCATCTGTCTGAAATGGTGTAGGGTTTCCTGCCTGAGCAGACCTTCAAGGTCCCTTTCAACTCTGTTATTCTATTCTATTCTATTCTATTCTATTCTATTCTATTCTATTCTATTCTATTCTATTCTATTCTATTCTATTCATTTCTATTTCTATAATATTTTTGTCATGTTCTACTACAGTTGTCTCAGCAGAGAAGCAGAAGATAAACCCCATAGCTATGCAGGAGGGATGAGAGTCCTACCCCTTGAAGAAATGGAAGCCATGTGCACACACCAACAGATTGCCATGGGAGTCCACCTTTAGCAAGTTCCCATGCTGGACATCAAAGATCAGCCCCCTGAAGAATGACAAGGAAAGATTACTGGGTTGCCTCCCTCCCACAATTCATGTCCACTATCAAAGTCTCCAACAGCAACTGAAAGAATTAAATAACTGGTTATTTTGTTACCTGGTAGAGAAGGCAGGATCGTACTTATAGTCCAGAATTTCGTGAGGGTATCCAATGGACACCAGTCGCTCCAGCAACAGCTCAAAGGTCAATTCTTCATAGTCTGGAGATTTGTACACTGCAACAGAAAAGAGCAGAGTCCCCTCCCATTCCTGGCTCATCTTTTTATCACAAAGCCCAAAGGAAAAGTAGAAAATGTAAAAGACCAACAGTTTCTAAGTGAGCTTTGGTCTTGGTGCTTGCTCGCATGGTCATCTCAAAAATTAAAAACTGGGGTTCAAAAGAGCACAAATATTGACATCTATTTGCGAAATGGTCAACTGCTCACGAATGCAGAATAACATAAGCAAGCTGGTAAAGCTCAGTTTGAATGAGATCAAAGCAGCCCACCAGGGCTGCCAAAGATCCCAGCAATTTCCTGAATTAAAAACTCCAACTTAGCCGTCATGGCTGGCGGGCTGAGCTGACCTTCTATCCTGTAGCTAGGATCCTGTATCCGTCTGTATGGGTTTCCTGGAAGGATTTTCATATCACACAAATACATGTTATTCTCATTAAAAGTAATTAACAAAATGCCATCATCATCAGTTGTAGGCTGAGACAGCCATGACTGACTGAGAGGAGAGTGGTGATTCTGGATGGGGGTGGGATGCAAAAGACAAAAGGGGCCCACTTGCTGGAGGGGGGAGCGGGTAACAGTTCAGACTCTTAGATGTCCTCCATGTCACTTAGTTTGTGAATGGGAAACTCTCCCTCCCCCCTGCTAGCTCCCAAAGGCTGGGTACTCTTGAGTTGGTTTCAGTACAGACCTTCTCTTCTCATCCCAAGAACACATTGGGCCTGATGGGCTGAATCAGGAGACATGCATGCAATTTAATAACGGACTAAGACACAGACCACAAGGGTCTGTCGGGCAATATCTCAGCAAAAAAGTGCCCCGAATACATGGAAAGCTGTCACTGGTTATCACCCCATCTCTCCGCAACCCCATGCACTCCAGCGATTCAGCATTCAAGGCCTCTTACTTGCAAGGGTATAGTCCATATCAAAACCAAAGCATTTTATCTTCTCCAGTGCCAAGCTCCGGTTCACAAAGATCCTGGGAAGGAGATGGGATAGCAAGTGATGAGATGGCGTGAACTGGTCTAGCTATAACCAGAGTCTCACACTCTTTAAAATGAGCACCTACATTTGCCTGATACTCGCCTTGGAAAATCAAGCAAACTTAGAATAAGTCCAGCTGAACCTTTCAACTGAAATGGGCAACACAAATATTCCAATGGGAACACTCAGAAATGATTTAATGCCAACCTTCCTCTTGTCAGACCTGAGATTTCATGTATATCTGCCAAAACCCGTTAAACTTCTTCCAAATCTCCTGTGTCTCTCTTTTTTTTAAGAGGAACAATTTAATTCTCCTGCATATTCTGGAAATTTCTCTTCAAGCACCACTGGAGAGAGAGAGAAAAAAAAGATGTAGCCAGAGTTTTGCAACACATCTTGACCCAGGCAGCCCTCAACTGATCAGGGCTAGTCTTCTGGCCATCAGCAGCAGTTCCCAAGGCAGAAGCCACCTGAAGCAGCCTAGAAAAGAACCCAAACAAACTCCCAAGAGAGCCTCAGAACCACCCAAGCCACTAATGGGACGTTCTTTGGAGGCCACCAGAGACTTGTGTGGAGGCTTTCAGAGGTGGGTATCATGGTCTTTCTTACACAACCCGACGGCTGCTTTTCTCTCAAGTCTGGGTGCTTCCTTCCAAGGCCCTGTGTTCCAGTCTTTGTGTTGCATTAGGGTTTCAGATTGGCAGCTAAAGATCTCTGCCAACTGGGCTGCCATGGCAGAGAGCAGAATCTGCCTTGAATTAACTTTCTCTGGTCAAGCTACCCCCTAGGACAGGAGTAGGCAACCTTGGCTCTTTGATGACTCGTGGACTTCAACTCCCAGAATTCCTGAGCCAGCATGGCTCAGCATGGAAACCTCTCCCTTTCCCCTCAGCATGGCTGGCTCAGGAATTCTGGGAGTTGAAGTCCACGAGTCATCAAAGAGCCAAGGTTGCCTACCCTGCCCTAGGAATTGGCTGCTTTCCATGGCATGGCCTCAGCAACCCCTAAGCTTGCTCCGGATTCCTGTGCAACCAATCATTCTTACATCACCCTGTAAGAACATTTCCTGGAGCCCTTGTCCACCCTGCCAAGGGTCACTTTGGATTCCATCTGTTCACTGAGCCTGCTCAACCGCCAGGGGTTGCAGGACCTGTCTGGCTCCCTGAAGGGATTTTCTGATGGAGAACTTCCAACTGCTTGGAGGACCGTTGCTGGCTGCCATTGCAGCAGCAACAGCCAGCAAAGTCCGTTCACCTGCTGAAGAGAACGGGAAGGTCTTTGACTTCAGCCTCTGCGTCAGAGCATTTCATCATTGTCTGCAATCCTCTGTAACAGGACGTTGCTTCATGTAATGTGTCAATAGTTGCAAACTGCCTGTCAGCCCTTCCTTTGCTCACCCAGGTTGCTATTAACCCCCCCCCCCACACACACACACACACTCCTGGCACTCTACAGCCTTCCCTCCTAGGTCAAGGCCTGATCTGCAAAGAAAACAATGCAGATCATGGGGTGTGTGTGGAGCGGCTATGCTGGTAGGTGAGGCAGGAGAGAAGAGTCAGAGTGGACTTTTAGAATGAGCAAACAAACCATGGCTAGATACTAGCATCCATGTTGTCAATGCTGCTTCCTACATTTCCTAGTGGAACCTGTAATCGCATTGAACTGTTTCCTCAGCTAAAAGCATGTTCAGACACAGTTGTAGGATACTCCATTGTCTCATTCCTCGCCACTATCTTCGTTTTCTCATTTTCTTTTCCACATGGCTACTCAATGTGTTAAGAGTTCAACAACAGAGGGAGCAACACCCAACAGCCAGAAGCAGAATCCTGCCATACAAGTCATGGAAAATGTCTCAGACCCTCTGTTCATTCTTGACCTTGTATGCCCTTGTTTTAGCCCATTCCCATGGTATTCTTGCACCTGTGTACACAGGAGTCCGTAAAGATGTGGCCTGCTGCATTTTGGATCAACCATGGTTCTCAAATACTCTTTAAGAACAATCCCCAAGGACTGTAGTCTGCACATTACAGTACTTGCTAGTTATAAGGGCATGAATTACTGCAGTCGAGTCCTTCTGCCCCAGGTGTGCAACTGGCACACCTGCCAAAATGGGCATAGCCTTTGTTGGCTGTAACTTCCATCTGCTGAGCCAACAAAAAACATTAATCAGAAACATCCAAATTGTGAATCTACTTCTTGAAATGTAGCACAGGAACCTGATATATCCATGGCAACTTGCCAGGAATCAACTGCAGTCCAATTCCATCCAGACCTTGACAATCTCTAGGAACTGCTAAACGATGTCAACAACAACATCTCCCTTAACAGTCCATTGATGATGTACAATTGAATATTATCAGCACATTGATGATGCTGTACCAAGAACCATTGGATGACCTCTCCTATATACATAGGACTGACCTCTGAGGCAACCCACAAGTAAGGGGCCTCCAGGCCAGCCTCTCGTCCCCCACCAACACTCAGTGGAACTGCCCAATATGGAATGAGCAGTTCAATTTGATTCCTCCATTGTAAAATAACACCAACCCTCACAGACAGTCCAAAGATAATCAATAATACCAAAAGTTATCAATAGATCTAATAAGACCAGGAGAGGGGTCCAGCAGGGGTCCAGCCAGCAGGTAGCAAAAGACAACGGTTACATCAGCCCCGTTGCTCCCTCAGAAAGCTCATCCCATTAGGATGGTCCATGTGGAGGTCCACCCTACAGTGATTTTAAGCAACTCTATTTGCAAAATTCTGCACAAGATGTCACAGCAACCATGTAGGAAAGTATAAAGCTAATTCATTCATAAGACTGCTAGATGGCAGCCATCTAATTATTATACAACAAGGGAGAAGGAGGGATAATTCACACACTCACACATTGACACGGTGTAGACCCAAACATGGACATGCATACGTGCTCAGCCAGATTCACCTGGAGAATTCTTCCAAAGCTGCTCCACTTGTTGTTTCTGGCCCTTCATCTCCCTCAGTAAACCAAGGGGCCATTCCCAGTCAGACCCAGAAAGAGGCACCTGGCTCACTACCTGAACAGAATTTCCTTATCAGAAATCCAGGAGAATCCCCAAATAACAGGATCCATCAGGTACCCGAAGCAGACCATCCAAATGGTTCCTCTCCCCTAAGGAAGTTCTACGAGGATAGCAATTGCAACTGGTCCAGGGCATGAACTAACAACGATAACGGGTTAAGTGAAATCCCCTCCATTTCCGGCTCATTCAACAGGAGACAAAAATGAGATCCAGAGTCTACCCATCAGTACATATAGAGCCAAGATGTAAGAATGGAGTTACTTCTATGTAACAGAAACAAACCTTATTCCGATGCTTATTCACAGAACATTGGATAACAGATTTGGAAGGGACCTTGGAGGTCTTCTAGTCCAACCCCTGCTGAAGCAGGAGACCCTCTACCATTTGTGACAACGGCTATCCAGTCTCTTCTTAAACATCTCCAGTGATTGAGCACCTACATCCTATAATGAATTCACAACCTTATTCATTGCTGAATAAGGAAGGGCCTCTTGTGGCATTCCAGGCATTTTAGTTAAGAACTGGCTAAGTGTGCCTTTCCATACTCGGGGGCCAAATGAATAAGCGGTGACTGCCCCGGCACCCCTCCGCTTCGGGTTAGGGCAGGCTGGGCAGCCCGGCAGAAGCGTCTCCTTCCTTCCTCAACGGCGGCGTCTTCTCAGCAAGGCACTTTTTCCTCGGCAGATCCGGGACGCCCAGCTGACGCCCCCCCCCAGGGGGCCAGGAGACCGGTCGACCTTCAGGGCGCAGCCGAGGGAGGCTCTGGAGAAAAGGCGGCCCCGAGCGGCTTTCCCAGCGAGCCCCTCCAGGCCCCCAATCGGGCGCCGCCTGCTTCGGAGGCAAATGGAGGGGCTCGCCGGCAAAGCCACCCGTCGCCCCCATCCGCTTCCTCCGCGGACTCTCCTAGCTGCGCTCGTCCGCTTCGACGGCCTCGGGGCCAAGCCCCGCCGCGCTGCCCGTCCAAACCCGCGGCCTCCCGCCCTCCTGCCGGCCCCGGCCCGAGACGGCAGCGCTGGGCCACCCCGCGGGACCCCCGACTCCTGCGGCAGCGGGCCGGGGGGAAAGGCGGCTCCCCGGCCTACGAGGCAGAGGCGCTTTCGCTCGACGACGACAACGCCGTCGCAGCGCGGAAAGTGCCGGGGCTCGCGGGCTGCGGCGGCCGGCGAAGAAGGGAGCGCGCCCGGTGCTCTCCCGGCTCCTGCCCTCGCCCACCACCCCGCGCCTCCCCCACCGCCCTCACCGGTGGTGGTAGTCCCGCTTGACGGGCCCGCGGGGCTCGAGGGCGGCCGGGAAGAGAGACTCCGCGGCCCTGGAGGCCTCGAGGGGGACGCTGCCCATCTCCGCGGCGGTGGCGGCGAGGAGAAGCCTGGGCTACGGCTGCCCGCTGCGTCCCCCTGGCCGGGGGAGAGGCTCCCGGCCCTACCCAGTCCGAGGGCCCCTCCCCGGCCAGCCCGCCCAGGCTGCCCGCCAGTCACCGCCCCGGCCCTGGCCTGACCCTAGCCGAGCTCCGGGCGGCGGTCCAGCCGCGCCTCGACGCCGCTGCTCCGGAGCCAGGGCCGAAGGGGAGGGAGACGGCGAAGCTGGTTGGCCCGAGCTCTTCGGAGTCGCGGGTGACGAGAGAGGGGCGCCGGCTGAGCAGGAGCTTTGGGGGGCTTGGCGTCTTCTGGATTAGAGGGGCTCAAGGCATCCCCGTGCCTTCCAGCCCAGGAAGGAAGATCCCTCATTTTCCCCTTCTCTCCTATAAACGTTTATGGCAAGCGTGAAGACTTTTGCCTATGTTGCAAGATGTAGTAATGAATAAAATGAAGGCAAATTCTTTTGAGCCTCTTATTTCCCAGTTTATCTGTTTGCCTTTTGCATCTTCAAATGTACCCCTGAACTTGTGGTACTGTAAAAGAATTGCAGCAACCAGAGAAAGACACACTGAATCTGCCCGTCTTGTAATCTTGTAACACATATCTGTAACTTGTACAGCAAACAGACAGGACAGGTATAGACTTCAACAGATAGGACAGCAGAAAAAAACAATTACAACTAGCCTTCTTCCATCAAAGACGTGTGTATTGCATGGATCAGAAAGAGGCTGGGAAAATATTTACAGACCCCTCACATCCTGGACATAAAGTGTTTCAACCCCCACCCCCTTGGGATGCTGTTACAGGGCATTGCATGCCAAAGCCACTGGACACGGGGACTTTTGTCCCCTCTCATGCCATCACTCTGCTAAGCACCTAATCCTCACAGTATTGTTTTATTCTAAGTAAATATACCCATGCTGTAGTATTACTACAGGTAGTCCTCCATTTACAATCACAATTGATCTCAAAATTTATGTTAAGTGAGTTTTGCCCAATTTTACATCCTTTCTTGCCTCAGTTGTTAACTGAATCCCTGCCGTTGATAAGTTAGTAATCCGGTTTTTAAGTGAATCTGGCTTCCCCGTTGACTTTGCTTGTTGGAAAGTACAAAAGGTGATCACGTGACCTTGGGACACAGCAACGGTCATAAATATGAACCAGTTGCCAAGCATCTGAATTTTGATCACTTGATTAAGGGGATGCTGCAAAGGTTGTAACTGAAAAATGGTCATAAGTCACTTTTTTCAGTGCCACTATAACTTAGAACGGTTGAAAGTTGAGAACTATCTGTATTCTTCTTTACTATCCCATCTTATTAGTATTATTATAGGTTATCATTATTCTGTTGCTTTGCATGTACACCGAGCTTCTGCAAGGGAGACAAATTCCTTGTGCCCATCTCACGCTTGGCCAAATAAAATATTCAGTTCAATTCATAACATGGGACATTTGAAGAAGTCAAAGTACAGATTAAGTAAAGACGTGGTCAAATGAATGCAGAATTTGAATGCAGTGATAGAGATGCAACAATGGAAATTTAAATGGAAGAACATTAAATTTCTTCTGAACATGAGAAAATTATTTTAAGATGTTTTATCATCTTGATCTGCTATTAGAAGTCATAAAGAAAATTTTATAAACTCTGATTTTTTACAAAAAATAAAAAATACATTCAAAAACTTACTTTTTAGCTAAACTTCTTAAATTTTTAAGTTTAAAAATAAATTAATTTTAATCTTTTCCTATATGTTTGGAGTAAATGTTAACTATGTACCAGTTTGTTACTTGGAAAATTCTCCTTTCTGACTTTAATCAAAGGTTGGAGGCTTGCAGCTCTCTTCCCTCCTCAGCTCATAGCTATTTTGTCTGCTTACCTCCCTCTGGCAGAGACCTGCCCGTGGCTTCCAATGGAACAAACTCTCTTCCACCTGCAGAGGGATCCCTCTGCACAGGATCTTCTCTTTGGTTACATACTCTAATAAGCATCTCTCAGAGGATCTACTCATCAGAGGGATGTCCGTCACCTGCCTGGAAAATAGCTGTCAATCTTGTCAGCATCAGGTGGCATCAGTACAATCAGGCTGCTAGAGCAGGTTGGAGAGCTTTTGCCCCTGAGATGCTGTTCAAAGGTGCAAAAAAGTAGCAACGTTTGTCTTTTCTTCTAGGCAAAGCCATGCCATGCAGAGATGCCTATCACCACATACATGTCACACCTGTCATACAGCAGAAACCAAGTTCTCCACACCCTGCAGGAATGGCCTTTTGCAGAGGTTCAGATTGAGAGATTTGCCTTGCCCTCATCCTTATGAACTCAGGTGGGCGTGCACTGGCACAGGGATCCTGGGCAAAGAGCAGACAGCAGCTGCATTACAGGTAGTCCCTGACTTACAACAGTTTGCTTAGTGACCTTTCGAAGTTATAACGGCATTGAAAAAACTGAGTTATGATAATTTTTCATACTTATGACAATTGCAGCATCCCCATGGTCACATGATCAAAATTTAGATGCCTGACAACTGACTCACATTTATAACAGTTGCAGTGTCCTGGGGTCATGTGATCACCTTTTGCGACCTTCTGAGAAGCAAAGTCAATGGGGAACCCAGATTCACTTAACAACCGCACTCATTCACTTAACAACTGTGGCAAGAAAAGTCGTAAAATGGGGCAAAACCCACTTAACGAATTTCTCACTTCGGAACATAAATTTTGGGCTCAGTTGTGGTCTTAAGTTGAGGATTCCCTGTAATTGAGCAGCAGGCCCAGAAGAGTCACTGTCAGAACTGGCAGCAGCAGGGAAGATCCAGGGAGGGAAGGCAGCTGCTGCCTCCTGGTAGATGAGTGGGACTCCTTCCGCCTTCGGTCTGCACAGGGAAGCTCCCATCCACACCAGAGTGCTCTGGGGAACAGCTGCAGACGTCCCTCCCTTGCCTGTCTCCTCTTCTTGCAGGGAGCAATAGCTGCCCACAGGAAAATCCCGGCAATAAAATGGGCCACAGGTACAGGGATCACAGAGCACCCAAGGCTGCATTAAATGGCAGAAGCAACACACTTCCTAGGGGAGCTGCCATCCTGGTCAGTCATGCCTAGCAGTGACAGGAGAGGCACAATCCGCTTATGACAAAAGGGTTTATAGACCTTGTTCCAAAGGGCAAGGGTTCCCAACCCCAGGCCACCGTCCGGTACTGGGCCATGGACCATTCAGAATCAGGCTCTGCAAGTGGCAGGTGAGTGCATACACGTCTCTATTTGCACAAGCAACAGGCACTCACTCACACACACACGTGAAGCTCCATTTGTACAAGTAGCATGTCTTTGTCCTTGCCATAGTAATGTGCCACCAAGGAGTCCCTGAGAATTGATCAAAGACAATTGTCTAGACAACACAAACCAGAGGAGAACCAGCAGCAAGGAGATGGACTCGGTGACAGTAGTAATGAGTGCATCGTTGTGAGACCCGAAGAACCAAGTGTCCAGCCCTCCTGGGCTCGACATGCAGAGCGGGGGGGGGGGGGAGGAGAAGGACGGCACGCTGGGGGAGAGGACAGCCAGCACTGGCTCCACGCAGCTCAACCTCCACGACGCAGCAACCTTTCCGGTGAGGCGTTTCAGATGGTGGTGCTCCGGGCGGTCGCCGGGCAGCTGACGTTTCGGAGCTGCGCCCACGCAGCGGAGGCCGCAAGAACAGCTGACAAGGGCCCCGCCGGACAGCTGACGGGCGGGAGAGCCACGCTGACAGGGCGGAGCTTCCCAGGATGCCGGAAACCAGACAAACGTGCAGGAGGGAGGGGCATAAAGGAACTTTATGAGGAAAAAGTATGCATCATAAGCTTATAATATTTAGAATATATATTCAAAAAAATCATTTAATAGAAATGTAGAAAACCTATATTAAATATCTTCTATATATTTATTGTGTATTTAAAATACATAATAGTGAAAATAAACTTTCAGTTAAATACATGTTTCCACTAGTCAGATTTACCTTGCATGAAGGCAAACCATTCAGATCCCTCCTTCTCTGAGTAAGCATGGGCAGCAAAGCCATGTTCTTGGATGGCCTGGTTTCTTGAATGGCCTGCTAGCTCTTCCAAACAAAATGGCTAATCAATATTGCTAGCCCAAACGGACCCCAAAAGCACGAGGGCAATGGATGGATAGAACCTGAAGATGAGAGAAGGGTGGAACACCCAGTTCATGGAATAGATGAAAAGGACATCCCATTCCAGAGTTCCAGGTCAGAAGCCTGGGAGGAATAGCTGTGAGACCAATTGATCAATTACAGCACAGGGGTCATTCTGATCCAGAGAACTGCTGACAAGCTGGAAACTTCATTCCTAACCCAAGATGCTGGTGACAATGTTGAAATTCTGGGGATTTTTCTGCAATCTATCAGGATTTATGATATTTTTTGTGAAAACAAAGAAAGGCTGTTCAATATATTGTCCCTGCTAAAGATTTCCGCAAAACAGAAGATCAGAACGATTTATTCTGTTTGCATAGTTATGTCCCTTCCCCTTGTCTTCTTCATCAACCCCTAATATATACTGCTCTGCCTAGGGCACAGCCAGCACCATGTACAGCATAATTTCTTTCTCCAGCATCCCCTACATGCTATTACTGCAATTGGCACAGAATCTGACATCCAAACCTCTTCAGAATCAGGGTTTCTAGAAAAAAGAGTTTCATCAACTCCTTTTGATATTTTTTGATGTTTCAATTATTATTTTTTAATTTACGTTTAAGCAGATTTAACTTCCAAAAACTTTGGAAAAGTTTAAAAATCTTTTGTGAACTTTATTCTCATTGCTGCTAATAACTGACATTTTTGTATTGGTGTGCCCAGAAAGTGTTGTGACCTGCCAAAACCATTGATCTGAGCACATGTAAGAGTCCATGTCAAGGCTTACACCATTGCAGTAAGAATTGTAAAATGTCATTATTTAGATAATCAGTCAGCAACTCTGTTTAAAATGACGCTGGAATATCGAGTTACTGTGAAGAATATCTAAGTATAAAATTGCTGTGGTGATGTCCTGTTATCTCAACAAATACTTGGAAGTATTTGTTTCTTTGACTTCTA